TATATTCCGCTATTTACCAACTTTGCGGACAGCTTAGCTGGTTTTTTTTTTTGTTCGAAGTTGACAGTCGGAACGCGAAACGTGTAAACACGCTAAGCGAATTAAAGAAACTTTCGCATTGTATTCGAAAATTTTAATACGCTTTTTCGTTTCATTTATTCATTTCCCGCCTATATTTTACAACGCACAATTTAATTGCGAATTACAACCCTTCATGAATAATGGGTGAAGTTTCACGCGTTTAACTTCACCAGAAGAATATCAAAAACAACAAAATATAAAAACCAAAAATATTTCTACTACAACCAATTTAAATTTACAAATTTTACAGTAGCTGTTGATCCACTATCCCTTACTTAATTAAAACCCTATACCCTCCATGAAATTACTTCCACGTTTGAAGCTTCTGTGTGTTAGAGATCCTTCCTCTGGCTATCTGTTCACATTATTGTTGACCCCTCTAATCGATCTAATTGTTTACGATCGCTTTAATCAACGGTAATTGGAATATATCATTAATTCCATCAAAGATACACCGAACAATTTCTCCGCAAGGCTTGTATATCACACTTTAACCAACGTTTAATCTCGTTCACTCTTCAACGCCCCGGAAATTCCCATATTGATTGTGCTTGATGTTATTGATCATTTATTATTATCATCACACTGATGAGGAAATTAAAGTGTATATATTAAGCACAAAACACACGAGAATCTAATCATTTTTCTAAATTATATTCCGGAATTTTAACTCGCACTATAGCAAAAGAAGTTATCCCTTAATGAAAGCCGGTCTATTCGGAGAATTCGAATGGAATTTGGGCTGCGACAATTTGCATTGAATGCCGGTTCAAAGCAAGTTTTCGATGAAACGTCTGTTATTAAACTAAATCCGATAGTTTTGTTCGTTTTAAAAAGGAAAATTTTTATTTCCCGATATCGAATCGCAGTCGCACCTGGCCCGTTCGATTCATTTCGAGGATTCCGGGCCTTCATGAATCTTTATAATGCGAATATATTCGATCCGGGAGCGCGCCGACTGCACAAATCGATTCGTTTTTTTAATTCTTACAGCTAAGTTTATGCTTGAGTGTTAGGTGCTTATTTACTTCCTAATCTTTGAGTTAAAAATATTTTTAAAAGCGATAAAAAGGGTTACTTTTCTTTGTTAAATTTTAATGCATTTTGTCCCGTTGATTCGTGCCCTTAGAATCCAGTGGAAGTTGAAGTTCTAAGGACTAATTTCTATCGCTTTTTTACATTGAATAAAATTGGGAAAACTGAATAAATCGCATTTTTCGAAGTCATAACTTTGTCTCATTCGAAATCCGAAGAAAACGGAGCTGAATTTAAAGAAATCTTTTCGCAGAAATCCGCATCGAGTTTTTTTATTCTTTTGTATACATTTAAATATTTTAGAATAATGCGACATTAATTCCGAAATGTAAAAGACTTTTTTGGAATGCTTAAAGTGGTAGGATTAGTTTTAATAAAATAATAGCTGGGATTTTTCCTCGACAATTCATTAAACATAACCGGGCCTTTCAGTGCTAAAAGAAATTCTTCAAACCAATTTCATTTATTCCAAATGGAAAAAAGCGAGTCGTTTATCGTCAAGTCGACAGTAAATACCGACTTTGAAACAATAAATCTCAGAACTGCAGATCTATTCATCATGTAAACAAACCCATTCGAGCGCTGAATTCAAAAAGCGAACAAATAGTCGTCTCAAATTAAATCCACCATTCAAGACGGGGAAAAACTACAATTCTAATCCATTTGGCTCGAAAGGATGGGCGCTTCATTCACGCAGTCAGCTTTAAAAAAAAATAGAATCAGTATTTTTTGGATTACTCTTTTGTAATTTCACTCATCGGCTCAAAACTCCTGATTTTGTTTGATGGAATTACCCACAAAGGCTAATGATTCGCAAACAACCCCTTCAAAAGGAGATTATTGGTGTTTATCTCATCAATAAAATATTTTTTTGTTTGCCAATTATTTGGTTATTTATTCCCACACCTTTTCTAGATTTTTGTATTAAAGAGAAGAAGGTTATTCGTAATAGTTAAAAATTCATTTCCATCTTATTTTCGTCGAGAATCAAGCGACTTTTAAATAACAATAAATCTCGCTGCTTTACCTGCAGTAAAAAGCCGAAGTAGACTAATGAAGACCCTAAACGCTCTTACCCAAAGAAGTAATAATTCATGATGTCCGCGTAGTTCTCGCTCCCCCGTTCGTCGCTTTTAGTAATAGCTTTATAAAACCCTAGTTAACTGTTTATTCCTGCACTGAAAAGCGCTTCCACGGTGCCTTATTCAGACGTTTTTATTTCCTACACTCAAAGCTCAATCTGAGTTTATTACACGCCCGTTCGCGTTCATTAACAGTTTGTCTTTCTGTTGTCATAATTTCGTCTGTTGCTTCGCTTTTTATTCCTCTCTTTTAAAGCTTCGAGAGAGATCGATCGAAGCAATTCAGAAGGTGATACCTACGCTAATATGTCATTCCGAAGACGCGGAGAATATCGGCTTAATCTGTTGTCTAAAACTCGTTAATCTTTTCGATAAGAAACAAAGTCATTAAATTCTCTATCGCTCGGATCAAGCGAGCTCTACGCCTCTTCTGAACAGCCCCAACTTTTAACCAGAAAAGTTTGCGCACTTTTCGTTTTGTCTGCGCCGCAGGAAACGACCCAACTTGTCGATATCACGCGGTAGAAATATTATTTGCCTTTTTTTCTTCTTCGCGTTACAGTTATCGGGATCCACACGGAGTGTTTATTCGACTATTCGACATGCATATGTAATAATTTCCTTAAGTGTTTCCAGTGCAATGTTATGAATAAACATGTTCGACGGAGCGGCGGCTTTCATTCGATTGTATGAAGGACTTTACGGCCGGTGATTTGAAATTAATACGACCGAGAGTCTGATAATTGAATGTCTAGCAGAAGCTCTTTGATCTCCATCGCGAATCGGAGCCTTTTAAGGTCATCTACAGGCCGCTTTCATCGCGGTTTAAATGCATTCATCGATATCGTTCGCATCGATAACATTTTCATCGTCCAGAAAAGTTAAAAAAATTTGTTTTATCCATCGCGAAACCTGCAGATCATCTTCATCGCGGTTTAAATGCATTCATCGATATCGTTCGCGTCGATGACATTTTCATCGACCAGAAAAAGTAACAATAATTTGTCTTATCCGTGGCGAAAGCGACGTCGCGACGTCGGCGAATGTTCCATCGTCCTGTTAATATTCAGGACACAATCGGGGAGCGTCATTGGAGGCGCCTTTCCTTTAATTGCTGGACGAACGCCTTCATGCTAAAGTGCCATCTCGCGACTGGAATACGAAAAAAGCCCATTCGATATTGTGCAAAGTGGCTTTCGATGGGAAACGCTCGGATTCGGGAAAAGTTCGGAGAAAGGGGTCAAACACGTAAAACTATCACTTGAAAATAATTGAACGAAAGGGATTATGCCCTTATAGAGGAAAAGACCTGCGGATAGGAGCTTGTTAAAGCGCCGATTAGGTCCCCGGTGAATTGGGGAGTTTTATTAGTTGTTTGTTTAGGTTGGTAACTGCTATTGATTCCCCACAATAACAGAATTAATTTATCTACTCTTGTATACAATTCTTTAATATAAACTGCTCCGCAAAAGTTAAGGAAGTTCGCAAATGTTGCGATTATTTTAAAAGTTACAGACTTTTTGATCACCAAATTTCAAATATGCAAAATTACCTGCAACTCTTAAATTAATCTCAGTATTTGTCAACTTCCTTAACTTTTTAGGAGCAATATATTTCGCTATAGTTTAATTAATAGAGCATTCTATAATAGAGTGTTTAACACAAAATATCCTACATCAAAGTATTCCAGAAACTCGTTTAGTATAGATGAATGGGATAGCTGTTAATGCGGATTTAATCCGAATGAAGTTGTTTACCACTTTTTCTCGGGGAAGCCCTAATGAAAAAAGTTAAAATAAAAGCCAAAATCGCGTTGATTCTTGGAAAGTAATCAGCTTTTAGATTTATCGTTCGGTTTAATGTTATTAAAGGAAGATAACCCTTTGGGCTCTTATATTAATCTCCAAAAAATCCGCGGGAATACGCTTTACAAAAATGATTATCTCCTCGCAACTCGGTAACTTCGTTAATTAATTCCTGTTGGGACATAATTTTAAAGTTTGAGTACTCGGAGCCCGGATTTACACGTAATTTTCTGCTACTGGTACCGTTTGTAATTAACCAGAGAGAATTATACCATCCGAAGTAATGAAGCACTTCTAAAGTTTCCTACAATAATTTCCAAACGTTCCCAATAATGATAATTGCGACCTTTTTTGCCTCGAGCCCTTCAACTACATTTCCACTTTCGAATTCCAGTCGAGCAGGAATATATTTTTAATTCATTATACTCTTCCTGATATTCGAATTATCTGCGATATTATTCGATTGCAATTAAATATTGTTGCTTTTTATTCGCGGGTTTACACGCAAAAAATTATTTTCAAACAATTAATTGGATTTACTCGCATGTTTTATTATACACATCAAAAAAGAGAAATATTTAAAATTGTTCGGATGAGTATTTAGGATTTAAAAAAAACCTTGAATTAAATTGTTACATTTTTAGCGATTCGAATATTGGCTAATGAAATGTATTTGTGTTGAATTAATTGTGGAAATGTCCGCCAGCAGGACCGAATTTGTAAAACTTTTCGAAAAACACTTTTCTAGCCTGTTGACTATTATTTTTTAATTATTCTGTTCCTGCATTAGTATTTATAATTAATGCATACAACCAATGTTATAATTAAATGTACCTTAAAACCAATTTATTTTTGAATTACATTTTGTAAAAAATTCCTACACAATGTTCGCCTCTGTTTACAACAAAAAATTAAATCACACTTTATTACTTTAATTACAGTATTTTAGCATCTATAAATACAGCTCCAATATTTTCAATAAAATTAATCATTAATCATGATGTTCTATGGTTCTTTTACTGCAGTGTTGCTGTTGCTATTGGTAAGTATAAATTACTAATTTTTATATTTAGCTTTTTCAAAATAAGAGGTCAGTTAGATAATTCTATCGTGTTTGAAACTGATTAAAAATAATTATTTTAGGTGAATTGTTCGGAGCAGCAGATGGGACCACCTAATATGGGAATGGGTCCCCCAATGGGGATGGGCCCTCCCCCGGGAATGGGAGGACCACCGTTTAATTTCAATAATGCCAATTGCCCTTGGTCCCAAAATAAAACCAACAATTCACCAGGTAATACCCCGCCTAGTAATAGTACTAGTACAGGATAAGAAGTCTTCGATTTTTCATTACAAAATGTAGAAAAATGGTCCTCAATAAATTGCTTTTCATTGGTAATACAAATCCTTTTCCTATACAACATTGTTAATCAGTTATTAAAAAAAAAGGATGTGCCCGCGAAGGATCCTGGTTCGACCCCATTTCCTTTCAACGCGCTCTGTAATGCCCTCTATTAACCAAGATATATCTCTAAAACATCTCTTTAACGGTTAATGTTATGCCTCTGGGCTACGCATCTTACTGTAATCTCGAGTAATTTACCGGCTTCTTGGATTGCTGATACACCGAGTGAGATAAAAGGGCGCAGCAGTTAATATACGAGGCTTCTTTTTTTCAACTTTCCTTATGGGATCTTGATGAGGCATTTTACTAGCCTAAACAATTCGACTGGATGTAGAATTAAATGCAGGAAAATAAATATTTTTTACCACACTATTCGCCTGGTTATATGTTTTTTAAAATCACGGCACGTATGGCATCTTTTCGGTCGAATTATATCCGGTATACATATGGATTTTTCTTGTGAAAATATCCTTTTACTGCCTGCCATTACTGCCTGAAATACGATATTCGGACATGACAATAGCTTTTATTCTGGCAATTAGCCAAAAACGCGTTCAGAACACTCCAATAGGATGGACAGAATTCCGAAAACCTTCTTCGGGTCACCTCAAACATGCAAAAAATCTCTTCAGAAAATGCTAAAAATGGAACTTTAGGAATAATGTAATAACTTTATTAACGATGAAGCTAATCAGGCTTAAACGAGCACAATTAGATCACGATAATGAGCGTTTCTGATCTTGTACGTCTTCTTCTGAGTTAATACCACACACGTTCACTTTAATTGCTTCGCCTTTAACTTGTACTCGCTTCGAGAAGTGAACATAAATTTTCCCGATTTGAGGAGGAAAAACATAATTTAAGCCCGGCGCAAACTTCGGGGAAACTCCATCTAACGCAGATGGATGTTGCAAGTGCAACGAATACTTACATAGGACGGGGCCAGAGGAGTACTATTCATTACCGAAGACGGCGAAAGTTTTCGTTATATTAGAATTTTTTTAACGCGTCTGATGCTTAAAGTTTAATATTTTTCGATGCTGTGGAGGAAGATTGGAAAATGTTATTAAAAGTGGAATCTGGAGGTTACCAAAAAATTAAAATTAATTTTTAATAAGCCACGAAACATATTTATATTATTATTTAATAATTATAAAGTAGGACCAACGAGAGATAAACGTAAATAAAGCGTGAAAATAGCTGGAAGGAAGCAATTACGAAAATAGCTGGTGCTTAAGAACGATTTTTCGGTTACAATTTAATTAAACGCCGCATTATCCATATAAAAGAAGGAATTTGAAGTATGCCTTTCGTTCATATGACATGGCTTCCGGCTATTTTCATTTTACTTTTTCGGAGACGCTGCTCGGGCTTCCTTCGAACATAATAATGGCGTATCCGCGTGTTACTTTCTGTGTTCAATTTGATGCGGGAATGAAAAAATTTGTTACAAAAATGTCATATCGGAGATATCTTCGGACGAGGCATCGGATTTTAATACAAACGTTCAGCCAGCCGGATAAGAAAAGAAAAAAAACAATATATGGTCTCATGACAAGCCACTAGTATCGATAATATCGATAACAGTATCAATGAATATGAGATGAATGAAGAAGATGGATAAATGAGAAAAATTGTAATAATAAAATTTGTGTGTGTTTTAAATGAAAGCGCGTTTAAACGCTAAATTTAACGAGCAATCAGAGATGATTAATGAGAAAATGGCGTATGAAACACATACATAGTTGGTGTCTGTGATGATTGCTTTCGGTGCGGAAAATTAATTAAAATGAAATATTAACGTTTGTCGTTGTATGCATTTGTAAGCTAATACTTTTGTATTATATTTTATTATGCTATAATTTGAAACCTCTCGCTGTCCTTCTATCTTTACATAAGTACTTTTGACATTTTCCGTGCAATTTTCCTGTTGTGGTCGAGATAAAATAAATTCTAAATTAAATTCTAAAATAAATTCTAAAGTAAATTTTTTCATTTAAATGAAGAAAATAATTAAAATAATTGTAAATTGATTCATATAGCACTACAAAAAGTACAAAAAGAATAATGCATCGGCCGGGAATCGAACCCGGGCCGCCCGCGTGGCAGGCGAGCATTCTACCACTGAACCACCGATGCCTTGACATTAGGGTTTCCAAACAGATTTAAAAAGTACAAAAATTATTAAATATAGGAATAGAATTGTTCTGTAAAAATATATTTTGTGTAAAGTTGTATATCTAAAATAAAAGAGTTCAAATAATACTGCTGAAATTATTTAAACGAAGTTACTTGCGTCATCTAATTTCGGTTTACTAAACTATAAATGGTACAGACATTCTTTCATAGATGGCGCTAATTTTGACGTTTGTTCCGTTTTCTTCTTTTAATCTACGCTTGTTTGTTAATTGTCAAAAATAACGAATTTTTGTTTCTGGTAGTTTAAAAAGCGCATTTCTAAAGTACTGTAAACCACGAAATCCCGATTGATAGATAAGCAAACGAACGATAAAATATAAAATGACCAGCGAAAATTTCGATCCAGAAGAGTGTTTATCACGTTTGAACGCCTTATTGGAGGAAACAACCTCAGGGGTCAGGTAAGAAAATGTCATTGCCCTGTTACTTCTTTGTTAAAATTCTTTATAACGGCTCTTCGCGTTCAATTCGACACCTACGTTTATTTTCGTTTCGTTCGATATTCGCAAGATACAACGCATAACGGGCAATTAATGACTGAGAGAAAACTAAGTTGGGTCGGAATTAGTGCAAATTTGTTTTATTCCCTCATATTGCACCAGTCCCGGCCTGATTTCGTTGGCTCGATTATTCCAAGAAGTAAACGCAATGAAGGAGTAAGCACAATATATTTGTTCGATACACTTTTCATAGTTTATAAACAATACTAATCTGTTTTATTTTAGTTCACAATGTACTACTAACGAAGCTGTAATTGTCAACCGTACACAAACCGAGATAATAAATTCGATTAAAGGATCGTTCGGGGATTTTTGGAACGACAATTTATCCACCAAACTTATTCTCAAAGAAACCGGAGCGAAATGCCAACATAACGGCACGAATAGGTAGCTTTTTTAACACAACAAACTTCATGTTCTAATTTGATGTTTTTGATTCTAGGAGGCCGAAAATCAAAATGAAGAATATAGTTTATGATGCTTATACTGAACGAGAGCAATTGCTGAAGGATGATATTAAAGAAACTAGAGAGCATGTTAATCTATTAGAGTCAACTTTACTCGATTACAAGAAATGTTTAGCTGCAACGTTATCGCAATTACCACAATGAACTTGGAATTTTGAGTACTTTTTAACAATTGTTTTGTAAATAATTAGTGTATGTATTCGTTCGTTGTGTATACTCTGTAATTATTTGATATTTTCACGCTTTATTTTAAACATTTTAAAATCTCTGTCATGTTTTATTGGTAAATTAAAACCAATTGTGCGAGGTGTATACACCAGGCTGTCCAGTTTTTTGAAATTCTCTTGTATTTTCTGCGAAAAATGTTTATTATTCTCTTGTATTTCTTTTAGTAATCCAGTGCAGTTATTTTTCGATTTTGGAGCAGTAGAGTCTGGAACAAAATTGTATGAATGTTTTGCAAAAAATTCAATTAGAAGCTTACTGAAGTCCAAATCGAATTGGGTTAAAGGTTTAGGCTCTTCTTCCGGATCTAAAATTAGTACCCTTTTGAAACATTCTCTAGCAAGTTCAAATTTTGTGCCTATCCTTTTCTTTCGAATTAATCTCTTGCTATTACTCTGTTGAAAACAAAGACAACTTTGATTAGTTTCGAGAAGAAAAGAGAAAGTGATATTGTGGGAATGCGACTTTCTTATTCTAACCACTGGTATTCTAATAATCTTTCTTTATTCAACTCGTAGAATTGACTTACAGCGACATGTTTTTTGTTAAAATTGATCTCTTCTCTATATTCGATTAGTTTCCTTTCGAGTTGATGTTTTTGCAGTTCCTCAACTATCATTTTGTTTCTCAAGTCATCTAATATTTGTCTCTCTGAAAATAACTTTCAAAATTAAATAAAAACTGAGAAAAAAAGGTCATGATTACAGCATTACTATGTTTAATTTCCAATTGTCTCTCTTTGATATCCTTTATCAATTCCTCTTCGTCGCATTCATCAATCTCGTTATCGATAATTTGAATATCGTCTTGAGAATTCATTGCGATTTAAATTTCCCTTAAAAAAATATCAAAAAAAAACACAAAGATTTCTGTCAGTTACAATTCCGAAACTTCCTCTTTTGTACGCAAGATGGCGGAACGGTATCCAAAATGAAGTCTGCGCATGCTCCGTTAAAATGAAATATGATTTCACCGAGGGTAAAATTTTCAACAGCTTCTTTGACGCCATTGTGAATTTTTGTCACATAAATAATTCGCTGGTGTTTATCTAATTGTTTCTGTGCCTGCTCGTTGCTTAGAGGTAAGTCATTCGCGATAAGTACTAATCTAAGTGAACTTGTATTTAGTAATGGTGGATTTCGGAATTTTAAAAACGTGGTTCGACACCGGTGTTTGTTGTGCTTCCTATACAAAGAAAGCTAACTCTGAATTCGGTTTATTAGCGTTTAATATTCAGTCAAAGCGTTGTTTTATGTCGTAGTTACAGAGGAAATGTAATAAATTAACACAATGCCGCCAATATATAACCTCAATTTGGCCTAACAAAAGTTAGTTTCTAGTTGCATTGCGCTGGGTTGAATATGTATTGAATATCAGAATATCGGAATCAATTGCGTGCCAATACTATAATACATTTAATAGTCTCCTAGCAACTCTTGTTTACTACAAATTCCAACCCAGTAAAAGAACATCAAATATTACAACCGGTTCAATTTGTCCAACAATACTTACTCAGTGGTTATTTTAATCAATATGTTGTTTAGACTACATTTTGTACATGCGAAGTTACATTTCCAGCCCCACATCGTTTTAACCTATAATTTTTCCCCCTATTCCGCTTCAATTATTAATCGCGGATCAATTGCAGAGCGAAATTAAATAAACAATCAAGTTATGGATTTCATGAATTATTTCAAGTTACAAAAAAAAATCGCAAGAGGCATTATAAATCCGACATTTGACACTGTCATTTAATTAAAGTCACACTTTATTTAATCGAAATAAGCTATAAGTAATAATTTGTATTCAATATTTCTGTCCTTTTCAGGGACATATTGGATGACAGTGACAGTGCCGAATTTAAACTAGCCAGAAAAGCGATTCAGTGTCGCGATGAGCGAAGAAGCCTCCATAAACCCGGACGTCATCCCCGACGTCTCGCTCGATACCCCGCAAGTACCCCCTGTGCAGTCCCCGCCGCCTCCGGAGCCGCCCCTGGAAACGCCGCCTCCCGTCGAACTCGAGAACACCGATTCTCCGACCAAAACACCCGAAGAAATCGCGCAGTTATCACCAAAAGATCAAGAAATGACCTCACAATCCGCCGACGATCAAACTCAGTCTACACCACAAGAATCAGCACCCGAAGAAGCGATTAAAGCCGAAGAATCCCCTCCCAAAACTCCAGCCAAAACGATTTCGATCCACATCAAAACTCCGCAAGAACGCGAGACCTTCGAAGTCGAAGAAAACGCCGCTGTTAAAGATCTAAAAACCCAAATCAGTTCGAAGTTCAACGCGGAACCCGACCAGCTCTGCCTCATATTCGCCGGGAAAATAATGAAAGACGAAGACCACCTGCAAGAGCACCACATCAAAGACGGCCTCACCATTCACCTGGTCATCCGAGCGGCTCCCCGTTTGAACGACAGAACCAACCGAAGACCCGCCGATATCGCAGCAACTCCGTTCGGATTAGGCGCTTTAGGAGGCCTAGCAGGAGTCACCCAACTAGGCATGGGCTCGGGAAGCTTCATGGAGCTGCAGAACCAAATGCAAAACGAGCTGCTGTCCAATCCGAACATGCTGCGGAACTTGCTGGACAACCCGCTGGTCACCCAACTGATGAGCAACCCCGAAACCATGCGAAATCTGCTGTTGAGGAACCCCCAAATGCAGGAGCTGCTTCAGAGGTATCCGGAAATCAACCAGACGTTGAACAACCCGGAGTTACTTCGACAGACGGCGGAATTGGCTCGGAATCCGTCGATGTTGCAGGAGTTGATGCGCAGTCACGAGCGCGCGATGGGGTTGGAACCTCCGTCGCCTTCGCAATTGATTAATCCGATTCCGAATTTGTTTTCGAACATGCAAGAACCTGGTTTGTCCTCGATGGCGGCTCAATTTCAAGCGAGCGCTCAAACAGCTCCGGGTCGCGGTGTGTTAAACCCACCACCTTTGGCTAGTTTACTGCAACAGATGTCTGAGAATCCTTCGTTGCTGCAAAACATGCTGCAAGCTCCTTACACTCAATCGGTTTTGGAAGCCTTCGCTGCTGATCCGAACGTAGCTAACACACTATTGGCTCAGAATCCTTTGATTACGGAGAATCCCACGGTGCAGGAGCAGATGCGGAACATGATGCCGCAGTTCCTGCAGCAGATGCAGAACCCGGAGATCCAGAATCTGATGGGGAACTCCCAAGCGTTGGACGCCATCCTGCAGATTCAGCAGGGTATGGAGACCCTTAGGCAATCGGCGCCTAATTTGATACATACTTTTCCGCCGCCGGCGCCGCAGGATGTGAATCCTGGCGCGAGGAGTGAGGGCTCTACTCAGCAGGGAAATGCAGGGGTTCCCCGGGATGCTTTTTCGGAGTTTATGACTAGAATGGTGGCCGGAATGTCTGCTAATAACGATGGTAGTTTACCTCCTGAGCAAAGGTATCAGGCGCAGCTGGAGCAGTTAGCTGCGATGGGGTTCCTCAACAGGGAGATTAATTTGCAGGCGCTGATCGCTACATTCGGGGATATCAACGCTGCTGTGGAGAGATTGCTGGCTCAAGGGCAGTTGTCTTCGATGAGTTAGATTGTTTTTTTTTTAGAGTATTTAGGATTAAATGTATGAGTACTTTTACATGGCGTATTATTAGTATTTTTTTTATTTATTAATCGATACATTTTAGATAATTGGTGGGTGTTGTATTATGCGTGAAATGTTGTCTATTGAAGTTACGAAAATTTGAGGTGAAATAAAGAAATATGTTTGAATGCTTGGAATTTGATTATTCTGTGGATGTTTCGAACGATTGCATATTTATATTGTTCCTAATTCCTTTGGAGATTAGTAATAAATTTTCAGTGATTATTAAATTACAGGCAGCGTGATAAATTACGCACGTGCCGGAGTTTTATGGTATGTGTTTGAAAATAAAACACTCAAAATAATTTCGTATCGATTTTATAAATATGTGTCTGTCCAATGAACATTTGACGTTATTTGCTTATGCCTAACTGACGATTGAATTCATGCAATAAAAATACTTTCCGATCGGTATAGAGGTAATTTATTTATCAATTTTTGGCGGTTATTGTGTTATAAATCATGCATATATCATCAATTGCCATTATAATTGGGCGACATGTAACAATTTATCTTTATTTAGGAGTTTATAAATGTTCTATCAAATTTCCACGATTCTCTTAAATTGCAGAATGCAACAAACATCTAATTAAATATACTGCTCCACAAAAGTTAAGGAAGTTCACAAATTTTGAGAATAATTTAAAAATTGCAGGTTTTTTGATCGCCAAATTTCGTATAAGTTGTAGAGGAAAGGGCAAAAAATCCTCTCAAATATGAGAGAAAACATTTAATTTCGCATATTTGAAAATTTTGTGATCAAAAAGTCTGTAACTTTTAAAATATTCGCAAAATTTGCGAACTTCCATAACTTTTGTGGAGCAGTTTATATTCTTAATGAACAGAATAAATAAATATTGGTTTGCATAGAAGTATTAAGGGAAAAACTGCAACGAACCTAAAGCTCATACAATACTCGTATAATGAAATAAAAAAATACATTAGAAAAAATTCAGATTCCTAATTGTTCGGTATAGTTTCGATAAATGTATTGTAATCTATTTTATTGTCCAGTTTGTCGGTTGACGATGATATCGCGTGCGGAAACTTCGGTATCGTAGCAACACAACTATCACAACGTCGAGGAAAACAGGACCGCCTTTTTTCCCGGTTGAGCCGCTAAATTTTTAATGACGCCGGAGCTCATCGTTTATTTATCGGCGAAATGATTATTGGTTAAAACTCGGCCGGCGTGTATTGACAACTCCTGCCGATACTTTGTCGAACTCCTTTGGGCACTTTTCCGCTTTGGGAAAAAAAAAGCGGTTGGGTTGCTACTAGCACGCAATGCACCGTTCGAATATTTCACGAAAACATTATGTTAGGTTGAAATTTTCAAGTCTACTCTCGGGAATTGTTATTGGAATTATTGTAAGGTAGACTGGGGCGAATGTAAAAATGGGGTAAATGTGATATTTTTACCTATTATGTTAATGGTTTTGTTATTTTTATAGTTCTTTTGTGCATTAGACAGGGTTTGTTTCTTATTTTTTCTTTATTATTTTGTAGCTCTGTTATTTTTTGAAATAAATAAATAGCATATCAAATTTTAGAGGAACCAAATATTTTTTTACAATTGCCCCATATGTTTTTCTATATAATTGTATTGTCTCTTTAGAACGGGGGTAAATGTAACATATTGTCAACATTTTAAAAAATATGTAAAATCGTTTTCTTCCTTTTTCAAAAAAAACTTTTTAATACCTCGATTCTTTAATTAAGGAAGCTGTGAATTTAATGTGGTATCAGCATTTCTAATAAGAGAAAAAATAAAGCCACATTTTAGGATTTAATTTGAACTATTCAAATTTTACAACCGATTTGCCCCACTCTACCTTAGTAGTTTTTCTCACCATAAGTTTCTTAAATTGTTGCTACACTGCTATGTCATATTCTCCAAAAGTTACATTATAATCGTTTTATAATATCTGATATTAACTATTCTCTAGTACCTATGCATAAAACATCTAAAATAATTATTAATTAGCAGTAATGATGAAATTTCCTGCGTTTTGTTTGTCCTAGAATTCAAGCGTTTTTGGGTAACATAAATTTATCGATTATCGCTTACCGTTTAATAAATTATTCAATTACACGACTGTATAATGATCAAGGGAAATTAAGAAGGAAATAGTCCGACTGTTTCTAAACTTGCTCCAATTTATTAAATTATAACTTGGGGTATTCAATAAACTGTTAACGAACAAACTTTCGATGAAAAAATAAATGTATAATTAAATTAACGATGTAGGCAAGTAGTTTAGTAAATAATAGTGCTATTAAGCTAAAGGGTTATATAAATAATTTTTCAATATTATAATAAAAATGATATTTTCGAAAGAAAATGTTTTTGATCCATTCTCTTACGATACATAATTATCCTAGAATTCCCTGCTTCTACTTTTTTAAATATTGCATAAAGCTCTATTAATAATACAGCAACAATTTAATTTTAGTTAGCAAAGAAATTGCTGCTGACGTTTAATAATTGAGAAGAATTAGAAATGAGTTAAATTTTAAATTAATGCCTGCAGTTTAATAATTACAATGAAACAACCACGTCAGTGTCGAGTAGCCGTATAGTGGTTCAGAATACATTAATAACATTGTCATTACATTAATAAGTGATATAATTCTTGCATTATTTCGCTGCAATTAACTGTATGTATATGCCAATTCTTGTAATTAGATGTAAATTTTGCTGATTGTAGCGTTAATTTAGCTCAACGAGAGCTCTGAAAATTACGAGTGTTTTTTCTTGGTCAATTCTTTTCTTATGCTCTCTTTAATTCTAAATTTTCTTCAAATGAATTTCCTATACTTTGGGCTCAAAATTTTCATGGCAAAAAGGTCATTATTTCTAGCAATTTGTCTTATTTTTTTATAAAATAATATAATATTTCTTTTTAAATAAAACGAATACTTGCATGCAACAAAAGCAACGAAACGTGTAATAAAAATATGTGCAATTCAAAAAAGAAATTATCGACTATCGTGAGAAACACAATATGCAATTAATTATTATTCTCGAATAATAAATAATTCCTAATACGTAGAAGGTTCGTTTCTTCCTTTAAATTATCTCATTACATATTAAAGTATCGCCCGATACGAGCTCTTCTAAGCGACACGACAATCCGGGGAGAATTTTGTGTAATGAAAATTATTAAAAGAATTATTAAGTGCACGGGATGCAATTTACCTGCGGAAGCTTTTATCAAAAGACACGTAGAACCTTAAATATGCACGCAAGCACACGTAATAGGTCGTCCTTTAATTAGGTTTCATTGTTTAATTATAAATAAAACAATATACCTAACTAAAGTTGAGAAAATTTGTTTAAAAAACAATTTAGAGACGTCTTAACAGTGTTTGATATTGTACCTAAATTATCGCGCTTTTAGTAATGAAAATTTTATATTATATTCCTCTTGTATCGCAGAATCGTGTAATTAATACAAACTTTCTGAATATTCTTCGTTATTCATCATTTTAGCCGATTATTCATCACAATGAAAGTGGCGAAAAAAATTTCTCACTAGAAATTACAACATTTTTGCACAAGTTAGTGTATGTAGGTACAATTTTATCATCTTGTTTAATTTTTATATGTATCTTATCAAGTTTATTACTGTTCACAAAACATTTTTCTCGGCGTACATTTAATAGGAAAACAATTAAAGCTCATAGCCTGTAGTTTGTATTTACCGGTTTCACCATGGCAACCCATTAACAATCGCTAGCTACCACGTAATGCTACCCTCTCCCTTTTCAACTTGCAATTGCGACCACCTAAGGGTCGCGGACTGATAAGTTGATCGTCTTCTGGACGATGGTCAGTGTTTAAATATCTTTGATAGTGGCAACTTCGAGATTTTCCAACAGGTAGGAAATCTTGAATCCGGTGCAATTGCATTGTTGTGTTTGGTAATACAAGTTTTGGTTCTATTGAGCAAGAATTTTGCTCAATTGAAGCTTGCATAATTCTGTTTAAGTTGTTTGGTTTGGGTTTCGATGCTTCAGATATTTTTCGTGATGTATTTAGAAAATTTAGAAGTATACAAAGTATTGGCGATGAATATTTTTTATTCTTTGGATACTATTAGTATTTTTCATACTTTCAAATTGCACATGAATTGTATCTGATGCTAATATTCCTAATTATTTTACTAGTTTTAAGTCAAATGTTTTCGAAATATTTTTTTTTTCAAAGAGCCTTACGATTTTGTTAAAGTATTGTTTATTTTCCAGACATTGGAAAGTCTACCGGGCGATCTACGCTTGCTTTGTTTAGGGTAAGTATTTTTCATCATACTTCGCAATGAAACAATCCATCAACTAAATTATTCATTCGATAAATTCTCAAAGTTTCCGAATATATGAAACTATTTCGCATAACCGTAAATTTACCGGCAACAATTACAGTAAGTCATTCGTGTTTGTTTCCTCGGCTTGATTTTGAGCTGCTACCAGCTAGCTCTATTTTACTCTATCCCTCACATCCGTGCATAACGATTGAAAGGCTATTTTACGAGTTTCCAGGCACGTAAAACGAAATTAATCGGCCCAAGCGACGGGATTAAAGGAGTGTTCGAATGTTTCAATCTACTTACGGTTCTCTAAAATGATGAGCTTCCAACAAACAAAGGTTATAACCGTTCGTTATTCTCGGAAAATAATGCGATTTTTCGTTTGAAAACGACAAAAAAATTCCTGAAATTTATAAAAAGACTTTCGATTGAAAAAATAGCTCTTCGAGCATTACAATGGTAGGAAAGTCATGAAAGCGTTCGTGCGTAAATGGAAAATAATTTCATTGTTTGCTTTCGTTTAGTGCTCTTTTATGTCGCGGAAACACGTTAAATATTATCATTCGGGAAATCGGGAAACTATTTATAATTTACAATCAATTATTTTAAGCAGCTAAAAGCCTTCAATTTTTTTACACTCTAATTTCCCTTAATTAGTTTCCCTTTTCGTGAATCCAAAAATTTAACAGTAGAATTTGATGGGGAAAACTCGATCAATTTTCCTCCAATATTCGATATGTCAAGGTAAATCCACCAGCACGAACTTGGAGTTCGAATTGAACTTACATTATTGAGCATGTTTGTAATGGAAAATGTTTGTATCTATCGTCAAGAACTGAAACTTATCGACTGGCGCGATCTCGATTTTATTTGTACCATTGATTTGAACACACATAATCAAAATTAGCGAATGCTTGCCTAAGGGTTTATAAATTTAATGAGATCCTTTCCAGAGTTATTTGTATAGTTTAATGGATGTTTTGAGGTACTTTCTTATGTATTTTTATTTACGAAAATTTCAAAAAGTATCAAAATTGCACTCCACTGTGTATCATTCCTTTTTGATTTATGATATCCAAGAACTTCCAGTCCCTAGTGACCCTATTTTCCAGTCACGCATAGGTATCCAAGTTATTGGAAATGGATCAGTTCTCTTATATTTTTTTTTCAGTTTACTATGTAGTTTGCTTTCGGGATCTTAAAATGATTGAAATGTTACAAGAAAAATCTCCCAACTCAACTGACACCTAAAAGTTTCTTTAACTCGGTTTTATGATTGGTATTGCGTTCATAAAAATTAATTGCTGATAGTTTGATATTATTAATTATGTTTATCTCTTTTACGCTCTTGTTAATTACATTATTTGTAATCTGTTTAATACTTAGCCGGAATTAACAAGGCAAAAATAAATTTGGAATTCTCTACTATTTAATTCCAACTATTGTAGATACGTCACCGTCATATAATCGTATAGACAATGTTGCCAAATTTTCCAATTTTACTGAGACTTGCAGAAATTACCTATAAAAAATAGTACCTCTTTATTTACAACTTAAATTATTGGTAACCCAGTATATTAGATTTTTTTATAACAAATTATATTTGCAATAGCTTATACTACATCTCATTATATCCCATAATATGTGTTGAAGTATTTCTTACAATTCCGCGTAATTTTCCGACTCGGCAACAGTGGAATTGATACCTAAGTTGATGTGAACGACTGCTCCTAACCTCTAACTAGCTGCTACTAACATACATGTGTGAGTTTGCTACTCGCTTCTCTAGTTTAGTTTATATTCTAATCTGTATTGATACAGTTATCGTTTCGTTGTGTATACGGGCCTGTGGTTGATTCTGAACTGAAGTTATTCACCTCGTTATTCCCCAATTTCGAATAACATAATCTAGTTTGAATTTAAATTGGTTTCTGCGAAATTAACACCGTAAGTAATTTTGTATGGAAAACACAATTTTTTAAATTGTTATTGTATCCGGTAATGGACGTTTTTATTATTTTAGTTACTTGATTTTTTTCGTATGAATAATTTTAAAATACAAAACGATAATATGATTTAACGAGGTTCATTAAAATTTTTGTGCATGGTGTTTCAATTTTTTAAATTTCAAATACAATCTCGTTTTTACGCGCTAGATAATTTTCAAGAGTGTGTGTACTTATTTTCGGCAAGGTTATTTGAATTGATATGTTTGTATAGGTATAATTTATAATTAATCTAAAATATCTAAATCGAAATTATTTATAACACTATTACATTCAAAAATGCATAATTCCTGCTCATTTTTAAGTTATTTTAATGATTAATTTAGATTTTAATAAACTATAGGTTATGTTACCGTTAATTTATTACAAACCTAATAAGAGAACCAGCATTGACAAATTTGCGAAAGAATTAATAAAGTAGGTACATTAAAAAATATTCAGCATACCCACTAATGGTGATTTTTATAGACTTCCAAGACCCATAATGGCGATTAATTTCGAAATTTATGAGCATCATTATATTACTACAGCTTGGTGAAAATTGAAAATGTAACGTGCTTACTCGAAATTCATTTCCTTACTTCATTACAGCATTAAATAAGATGGATATTAACAGGTCTTCGCTTTTTAGCCGAAATTTGTTTTCGTTCGAAGAGAATTTTCATTCGAAAAATATTTCTACTTGCCATAAACAGGTACATTATTTACAGATGAATTAATGTTTACTTTGAAAAGAATCTCGAAAATAGATGTAGATTATTTTTCTTACTTATTCATCGATCGCTCCCGCAATAATTTCATTTTCTTTTGATCTCGATGTGTATCTAATCAATCGAGCATTACACAAACTTTTATAGGATTTGAACGTTATAATATTACTTGCAAGTAAAAGCTTATTAGAAAAGAAAATTCATCTCTTTATACATTTGTATAAAGGTGGGATGCTCGCTCGTATCCCTAGGTTACCACCTGGAGTTGTACATTTAGACTATTCGAAAGATTTTCCACCAATTTCCCATTTTATTTTCAGAGTCTGACATTTACTTTTATTTGTCCGTTTTAAATTAAAAGCTTTTGTTTAGCAAAATCGATGTCTTTGTTGGTACTTGAACTCGTGAACATCTTTAAAACGCTATAATTTACAGTTCAAATATTGCGTAAAAGTATTGATATAACATAAAGGAAATAGTCTTAGTATTTACTTTGCAAGTGTTAATAAGAAACGTTGTTTAATACGTTAAAATAATTATTAAGGAACATCGGAGTATTCGCGGTTTATTCAATACTGTAAAACTTGGGTAAAAGTTATCTCTAACATCATAATTAACAAGGCATATCACAGTACCTCGACGTTGCTCGAGGGAATCTCGTTAATGATTTTGATCAAATTTAAATTTAATTTGCTGACACTTTCCGAATAAATTGTGGCGTGAAAATCTTAGAGGAATTAAGAGATTGCATCAGAGAACCAGTGTAGAAAATGAAAAGCGATGGTTCGTAGAATTATTGTATAAATGTTGATTTTAACCACATTATTGAAAAAAGTATTATATTTACTAAATTAATCGAAAAATACTTATTTGTATGAACATTTTCTCAGTAACAACGAATGACTAAGAAGCAGGCGATGATTTAAAAAAAATTATGCAACGCACATTCCATTCTATACGGCTATAATCTCAGCCTTAGCATAATTTTCCTACTTTAGACTTTCATTACAAAAGATTGAATATAATGAAGAACACTTGCGTTGTTTATTGCACTGCATGTATTTATGGAGATGGAATATTGCACAGGCTAAAGTTAGTTTTCTTTTACGTCCATGTTCTAGTTTCATCGGATAATATTTCTACGCGATATAACTTATTAATTTGAAAATAGTTTCGTTAGAAAAACATAATGATACGCCTCTGGGAAAGTTACTCAAAACCGAGTACAATCTCGCGGAATAAATGTATGAAATAAGAAATGAAAGACCAAAATTTATTCCAGTCGAATTTCCTTTCGCAAAAATAGCAAAAAATGTATGAAGGAATTTGATATTGTCTCGTTACGGGGATTTATTTGTGCAATTATTTAGTTTTTTGTAATAATTCGAATTGATAATGATCAGTCGACTTATTCTGTCTTTCACTGGATAAGTTTTATCATTCATTCTATTTTAATGATTTTTATTTTATTTTAATGATCCCATTTATAAGATTAGATTGGTAACGCACTTTTTTTGGCTAGTGTTGTAAAAAATCTTTCGTAAATATAATGGGAAACGAAATTTCGAAGGTCCTTTTTAAAAACGACCTAGAATATCCAATTGAATTGTCCAACATGAAACGCTCCAGTTTGTTTTGATTTATAATTCCATTCTGCCCACTGTAATCGATCCAAATCTATTTTATTTCCTGCACACATGCATGATAATATAATATTGTTCAAGTTTAGGTCGAGACATTCAAACATCTCTTTGTGAAATTCGCATAATAAATTCGTATAGTAAGTTTCGAACTCGTTTCTAGAGCAACATGATCGTTGATGTAGTCGCAATTAATATTAATTACTTTGCGTAGGATAAAAAATCAGTAAATTCATAAGCGACCTTGTCCTTGCTAGTTGTATTACGCCTATACTCGATTTTATAGTCTGTTTATGTTCTATTTACATTGTAGAAAATGTGGAGTAGAATTTTCTCTAGACGTCCTTTTTGTATTTTCTCTTTGTCGAAAGTTTTAGTAACTCTGCTAGGGAATGAATTTTAACATTGCAATATTTTATTCACTCGAGTAAAAAAAGTATTTTGCATTTCAAATCTAATAGCACATTTTGATTTTTTGTTGCAATAAACCAAAAGGTTTTGGGATTCGCAATAAACACGCGAATTTGCTAGTCCTTTTTGCATAACATCCTCTTTATAATATGAATAAAATAACATTTTTTCATGTTATTAAAGAGAATATTTAATTGACGCAATTATTTACAATCAATATAGGTAATTCAATCAGTAATAAAAAACACAAAGTTATTCATGAGAGTTACCTTGCATAGCATAAAGATTAATTATCAATACATACACCCTATTAGATCATCCAAACGAAGAACGTGAATAGGAATATAATTGCTTTAAGCCTTCGAGTGCCTTAGGTCATCCTAAATATTTTTTTTAACTTTTACTATTCTATTTAATTGCGTAATTACCAGTACAACGAACGTTCTTCTAAAAAAACCACCTTGAACTTTTTTATTTAGGCAATTTATGAATTGCTTTCAAATTTTGATGTCACGACAAATTAATTGGGAATTGGAGTTATTTTGAAGCTAAAACATCGGTAGCTTGAATATTTAATTTTAATTAGTTGAGCTTCATTATTTATTAATTATTCATACCTACATGAAGCAATTTTCAAAATATTATATATGCTAATCACAAATACAATTATTCAGCGATTTGTAAAGGACTACCATAAATTACTCTGTCTCCCTACACTCGCGATTTCATTGCATAATCTCATCAAAAGCATTTGTAAAGATATTTTGCGTAAAGATATGGGGAGCCCCGCATTCTTCATATAATTCTTGTGCCTACTTCAGTTCTGTTGTTGTCTTAAGCGAGACAGGTGTTGTGTTAATAGTTTGATGTCGTTTTTAAACGCGAAATTTAGTTAATAACGGAATATTTGTGATTAAGATAACTGTAATTTGGTTTTAACGAGACATGTTATTTAAAGGTAAATTTGGATAATCGATAGAAAGTGCAGAAAAAGCGATAAAAAAGAGATTTAATTATTCCGCAACATATCGCACGCTTAGCCAAATATTAGCATTAAGTAATATTTATGTAATTTTTAGATGAGTCGTTTCCTTAAATAATTTTCTAGTGCTACATTTAAACCAGCCTTTGTTATTCTAAAAATACCACTTAATTGTCCAATGTTTTGTATCAAACAAATTAAAATGAACGAAACCAACGTGTTTAATTTTCACAGCAGACGTTTTGTGAACATTTTAATATTAAATCAACCAATTTTCCTAACTTTCCAATTCATTGTAGCTGCATAATTAACGCCAGATTTGTTCCAAAACGGAACATAATATTTCAAAATGGATATTTTTTTCTGTTTTCAGGGAGAATAGCCATGAAGCGAGGAGCTGACGGTGACATGGGGTCCCCGCAAAAACGTTCTCGCAGAGGAGATGAAGAAGTCCGCTTACTTATTCCCAGCAAGGTAATAAAAATCTCATATTTTACATGCATTTTTTTTTGGCAGAAACTCCCCTCGATCGAATTAAATTACGCCGCGTTAATTAGATTACCGAAAACGAAGTATTAAAGCACATTTAGCATCGAAAACCTTTATGCAATCACGTTAGTTCTCTTTGAATTTACGTCGAATTCCGATTGCAATCTGGGAAATGAACATCACAAAAGCGAGGTTTGATTAAAATCTGTTTTGTAACGGTATATGGCGGTTGCTTTACCCAATTCGTGGAAATTCGTTCTATTCAACGCAAGTTTTGATTGAGAATTTTATTCAAACGAAATCCTGCATGTCGCAGAAGTCGAGCTTCGAACCGAAAGTTAATTTTACTAATTAAAAACGTTGTTGATTTAAGGGAATTTCATTAATTTCGTTTATCATTAGATCAGTGTAATATTTGTTTTCAATTTTAATATCGTTATATAGGAAAAGTCGTTCGCTTTGTACGAACTGCATGAAAGCAAACGAATTTTGCAATTTGTCGCAGGAAACCTGCAAATGAAATTTCGTGTCTCCAGGACGTTACCTGAACTGATTCACGACATACGCTTGCAGTTTCTCGATAAAAATGTAGATTTCCCCGAAGAGGGTCACGCGACGCGAATTTTGAATAGAAAAATACAAAAAAATGTAGCTACACCGTTCGCTAGTTCTGCTTTTATCTTTCCGAAGCCATCAAACTAATCGAAACGCCGAATTGAATTTGTAAATTTAATATAATTTGTGGAATCTTAGTGGTCTAGAATTGATTTTTAAATACCTTGAAATACACTTGATAAGGGACAAGTGATTTTTAAAATACTTTGGGGGTTGTAAATACAGTTCAATGACTTGTTAAGGGACATGTTGATTTTACATTACAGGTCGCCGGTTCAATTATTGGTAAGGGTGGAGCAAACATCACAAAATTGAGAAGCCAGGTCAGTGGTTTTGAAATACCTTTTAATGGTTTATCTTAAAAATATTTGCTTGCGTTTTTTTTTTTTCATTTTTAATCCATAATTGGAAAATACAGACTTCGGAAACGGTTCAGTGCATAAACGAGAAATTTATCGGTGCATAATGTGTTTATTTCTCATTTACATTCTCGTCTACAAGCAGTTCATAAACACATTTTAGTAAACATTTAAAGACTGCTTTGAATAATTAAAGTTTTTGTTTGGTTTTACTGCTAATCTGGAATTTATTTGAAGCGGTAAATAAATAAAAAGTCGGTCTATTAATCGTTTATTTTTTTAGGTTCCTTAAAAGGCTGTAAATTTTTATGTAACTCATTGTAAATTTCATCAAAAATTTATCTACTGAACCAGTTTAGTTACTAAAGATCGCTTAGTTATAAAACAATTATAACATCTAACCCATTTTATTGTTTCGTTTTTAACCGGAATTTGCAGTAATAATTTTTTATAGTGAAAAAAACGTTAACAGGAAATTATGGTTTAATAATTCCATCTTCATTTTAAGAGCACGGAAATGTTAGGCCTTTTCGCATTACTCTATCGGGATTCAAACTCATATACCAGAGAGATGCTTCTGTACATTTTATAGAAAACTTTTTTGTGATATACGCTCTCCATTATTTGAATTTTAAGCGTATAAATATTCCATTAGTAAGCCTCTCTTTAACTTTTTAAATTTTTGTCATGACCTGTTTTGCCGGTATATTACAGCTTCGATTAATATGTTTAATATTTAATATCGTTAATCTTAACCATGGTTTCCTTAACATGACTAAATTTCATCTTATAAATCGAGTTCTTTGTACTTCATGGGTGGTGTGAAACAGGCTTAACAGTTCAAATTAATTTTAATTATATGGCAATAAAAAGAGGGTTAGACTTATAAATTTGTTGGATGACATCTCAATTTAACGGGTTCGTTTTTTGCAGAGCGTTAGAATAAGAATATTCAATGAATTATTTTATTTTTTATTTATTAGTTAACAATTTTCAAAGTAATTTACAGCACAATTTGAATATTCCTTATTTCCATGCATACCAATCTGCAACAAAATTTGTTTTAATTCTAGCTACTAAAGTTGAAGACCCTTTCTCTTAGCAGGCCCTTAGATTTAAGACAACCCGAGGAGTACTGTGTCCCATTGCTCGCCCTTTATTTATTCCAGCTCGCGAGTGCTCTAGGGAAACACCACCATTCGATTTATTTGGCATTCCATCCGTAAACTAACGCATATATTATACACTAAAAAAACAACCCCGCAGACCCCGAAGACTCGATCTAACCCCCCTGTAAAGAAGAGGTTACTAAACCAAAGAAGACTCCGTTTTCGAATGACTGCCAAATATGTTAATAATGGTTTTGAGTAAGGTTGTTTTGATGGTGGTAGTTCCCTATCGGCACTCGGGATTTAATATAAATTAACTAATGTCTTCTGTCCCCGGCCGTGATGTCCACCCTGTGTCCAACTCCGATTTCGTTGCCAATTGCCATTGCCGTGAACTACAAAATTGCCAATTGCCGTGACTACAACCACCAACAACAGTACAAAGCATCCATTACTGTCCCTGATTGCCCGGGCCCCGAACGGTAAAGACTTTAATAAAACTCTCTTTTTTTAGTTGCGCTCACCCCGGCTCTGGTTGCACTGCCTTAACGATTTGTTTGTGATTTTTTTTTTGATTGATTTTTTTTTAGTTATTTATTTAAACACTTGTGTTAGTTTATGGTTACTACATCGGTCATATGTAGTTGCTTTAGATGCTCTCGGTTGGTTTCATTGACATACTTTAGCTATAATGATCGGTTTGTTTAACGCCTGGCGGCGGTTTTTTTTTGTCCCAACTGAAAGGATAATGTTTTTGTGTTAAACAAATATCAATATCGACAGACGAAATTGTTGAAATCGTTAATAAATAGCAAAGCTCTTTTGCTTAACTTCTCTCTTCGCGATCTTGTTTCTTACGATGTGCAATCCCAATTTTGATGTTGTAGTGCAACCAGTGAGTCGCCGGATATTCCGCTAGGTGGCATTTTATTGGTTCCGATGCCCATGTTTATTACGAGGGTGATTCTTAACGAGTTTCTGTAGCACGTTTTCAAGAACTACGATTGTAGGAATTTTTTTATATTTCATAAATTCAGGTGGGGTAAAATTTAATCTGAGATACCTGCAGCTAATAGTTTCTTACAGGTTCAAAGTGATACATTCTTCATCTTAAGATCTTTTTAAAGAGTATATAAAAACATTTATTATACAGGGTGTCCCAATAAAAAGTAGCCCCCTTAATAAGATTATAATTTTTAAACGCCTAATCATAAAAACACGCGGTTTTCTCAAATATGTTTTATTTTATTATAAATTTTCTTACAGTGATACAGAAATTATGCATTATACAAGGTGTTTAATATATCAGAACCTCCTCTTTTAAATCCACAGTAACCAAATTAATTTAAATGGAACATCCTGTATATACAGAGGAATTTTAAAAGATACACTCCTCTACTTATTCAAAAATATATTATTTGTAGATGTTATTCTACAAAAGAAGATGTCCTATTTCATAAGATTTAGTTATTGTGAATTTAAAAGAGGGTTTTTTATGAAACATTCTGTGCAGGCGATACAAAATTTTTGAAGAAGCAACTTTTCATTGGGACACCCTGTAATAGTCATTGATATTTCTTATTTAAAAATAAGAACAATTTATTTCCAAATAACTTCATTATTTGTTGCTTTTTGAGCATCTTCTTTTTAATTAGGATATCGAATTAATAAGCAATTTTTTCGAGAAACTTTTGGAATTAAATTAAATTCCTTCTTTTGATCAAAATATCTCTTAATATTCGCTCAGGTAGACTCAAATTCCATTTTTTTTTTCTACAAAATAAAATAGTTCTTGAATATCGTCCAAACGGATTTAAAGCATAATTTTTAGTCATTCGATTTGTTCAGTATGTAATGTAATCAGAAAGTGAATTGTATTAAATCCTGTAAAGTTGTTTTACATACATTCAAATTGATTGACTATATTGATTGATTGATCAATTTTAGCTTCTTCCAACTATTTAAAACTCTTGTGCTAATATTTCCTTCCAGGTTCTTAATGAGGTATACCATACTAACATATTCCGGATCTTGCTATTTCCAACATAAAAACCATCGAACAGCTTCGATTAAAAAATTAATTAACCGTTTACAATCTTTAGTTATTTCCAATTCCTTTAGTCTACTTTATTTTCAGTTTGTTCTTAACCACGTAGGTCTACTTAAATCCCAGAAATACATTTATTTCTTTTAGGTAATATATCCACAGAGTATCCCAAAAGAGCGATGTTTTCACTCTCGTTTACAACCGAGTATAATCGAGTACTCGCTTACATCTTATTTATATTCCCAGTTTTTAAATAGTACCACTAAATGTTACATTAATATATACCTTAACACCACGTGTGCTTTTCTTATTTAATAAAAAAGCAAGATTCTGTTAACCACCCTGTATTTCTCGGAGGTTTCCCACGAACTTCGTTCCTGTTAAATCGAATAATATTCTGTTTACAGGCTCTTAACGCTCTCATCGGATATGGACTCCGTCTGCAACATCGTCAACGATGTGGTACCCAATTTGGAAGAGGTGAGTACCAAAACTGATTTTTCCTGCTAAATAATTTAATGGATTTTAATTATCTACACACTGAGTAATTTACGCTACTTGTAATCGCGAAAAAAACTCATTTTTCCTGCAATTTAATGGATTTTAATTACCCATACATTGAGTAATTTACGCTACTTATAATGGCGAAATTTGAAAGTTTCATCCCGCGAATTTCCTGCTGCACAAACATTCAATCGAAATCGGAAAATCGAAAATAGCGGGAATCCCGGGCGATGCAGATATTCCGCCTTGAGCTTTATATTTTTGAATGGGACGCGAAAGCGCAACAGACGAATCTTAATTTCCGATTTACGGGGGTTCTGACAACGCCGGAAGTCGGGCGACTTCAAAAATTTATTGGCGACATCGAAAAGGTTGCGTTCAATCGATATTTAATCAATTTGAGTGGCTCGGGCGGTGCATCGGGAGGGAGGTTTATGTAAACCTGTTTGTTTTATACAGGGTGAGGAATCGTATATACTTTAAGAGTGTATAGAGGTACTTAAGGTGAATGTTATGCGATTATTAAAAGTTTCATTCGGCTCTTCTGCAAGGAGATACAGGGTGATTTATGAATTTCATGGCGAATTTTTTTTGTCAATTATCAATTAACTTTTAAGAAAAATTACACATTTAGGATAAACGAATAATTTACATTAAAATAATATTTTCTATCGTACACATTTTAATGAAAATTAATAAAAACGACTAATTGCATATTCCTTTCTATGAAAAAGTCCTAAAATTACAAAAAAAAATCTTAAAATTAACTCAATAAAAAATATTCAACGCGCATGATAATAAATGTTCAAAAACTATGGAAAAACACATAAATTCAATAAAAAATTTATTCTACAATGTAAAACATGCTCAAAATGAAATCCATTTGCCATTGCAAAATCCGTAAACAAAAATAATATCAACATATTCAGTCAGCAATTGAATATTTGAAGTGACTCTATACACTGTTAAACTATGTACGATTCCTCATGACTCACCCTGTATACGAGGCAAATCGCGAGATTTCGACAAAAATCGCGAGAGTATGAAAATAATTTACTGCTAGTTTGATAAGCACCACTTCGAAGGGGTTTAGGAAGTTTGTGTTTGTTTTTTTTTTGTTTGTAAGTTTAAAGAACTGTTTTTTGCATCTCATGAAGCTTTGAATGGGTCTTTCTGAAGCTAACATTTTAGTATAATGTTAATTAATTGAGTGAATATTTGGATGATATTGAGAAGAAAACTTTACATGAATATTTGTCCTAAACCTCTTAGTTTTCGAGCTACAGGGTGTTACAATTTTAGCCAAAAAAATAACAACTCTGTGGTTAAGCATTGGGAATTTCGTGCGGTTCGACGAGTTTACAGTGTATTACCCGAGACGGGGGCGACAAAGAAATTCCTGTCTCCACATCACTTCACTCTCCCTTTAACCTCTTCTTTTGTTAGGGAGCAAAGGGGGAAAACCTCGGCCTGTCATTGTTGTTTCCTTTCCGAAAGAAACTATAAAGGTGTTGTCTCTATCGACAACGCTTTTTTTAATTAAAAAGAAACGCGTTTTTTAAGTAATTAATATGAATATTTAATCATCATTGCTCTTGTATAAAACAGTATTTCTTCGTACAAATTCCCTTTTTATTAAATTCCCTCTTTAATATCCGCGTTTGAATCTCAATAATCATATTTGTTTCTAAACAGAGGTTATTTCGTTCCGTTTCGCGAATAAGTGAAATTAAAAGTAACATCACAAGAGATATTTCCTTTTATTCAGTCCGCTTCGATTGTTTCGTCGGAGGTTAAATCCCTTTGACAATGCTAAACAAGATTAATGCAGGACTGATTTCGTGCTTCATTCGGATGTGTTTCTAGAAGATTTTAAAGGTGAAAATTCTGAGACTGAAATTCGCTGTGTTACATTCAACATCTTCGCAATTTTTGTGTTGTTATAATGAAATTTATTCCAGAACGGGGCCAGCATAAACGGCAAGGAATTGGACTTGCGGATGATGATCCATCAGAGCCAGGCCGGTTGCGTTATCGGTAAAGGCGGTCAGAAGATCAAGGAAATCAGAGAGGTAAGTTCATCGTTATCAATTCAAATTCTACTCGTTATTGTAAAAAATAATATCGTACATCGAAAACATCCATTAGATAGCAATTATTCATTTCATGATCTGCTCGTTGACCTGTACATGAAATTATCCACCGATCACAACCATCAATCTCACTTTAATCGACACGAAATGATGCATTATGAATTTTTTATTGTTTTCCATTTCGCTCGTTCGCTTCCGATTTCTATTTTGCCAGTTGCAAAAGATGGATAAACGGGACAATTTCGCTTCTCGAAAAGGAAAAAGAGATGGTTTATTTGTTAGACACGTGAGTGGTTTAAATAATTTCATTACCCACTTTCGATTGCGTAAAATTTATTGGAATGTAGCCCAGTTTGTTAGCGACCAGTAGGATTTCCAGTTTCGCCTTGTCGAGTAAAGAAAATATGAAAATAAACGTTACTTTCGACAAACTTTAAGCAACTTGTAACCGAATGAAGGGTGAGAAAAGCGAATAGATATAAACCGTGCGAATCGACCAAAGCCCCGAGTCTCCGGGGACGGGGCCTCGAAGGCGAGGAAATTGTCGGGGTGTTGGAAAATTTACTATTAAACTTCCGAAATGGACGCGTTAAGGTCAATGCTTTTCGCAAATTTATTGACATCTGGATACTAAGAAAGTACTGAAAAACTGGCTCGAAAAGTTTAGTTGCTGTACTAATATACAATTTGATGATTTCGGCTATTAATGAAGCGATTGAAGATGATGGTTAAAAGCTGCTAGAAAGCTCCACAATAGAGCTTACAATCCTCATCAACCCATAACAACTAGGTTATCGTAATTGCTGAGATAATTTCATTGCAAATATCGAAGATTTTTCACTTATTTCTTCATCTTTCATCAGTTACTTTTGTACCTAATTCTCCCTAGTCCCACAACGTCTATAACTTCTTTATCTTCTCGTCCCCATGCATCAAACATTCGAACTCCACCAACCCCATAAATCTAAATTTTCTTATGCATTTTTGCATAACATACCGGACATTTTTCCGGCCTCGATTCGACCGGCCCAGAACCGGCAACGCCGACAGGTGGTGCGGAACACCGGCAGGTGATATAACCGGTAAACAAGGCGCTATCATCAACCGATGTCCCCCTTTATTCGTCTGTCCGTGCATATTCGGATCGCGTGCGGAGTCAGGCAGGCGCGCCTCTATCAACCCCCAATCAATACCAGCTGCGGGCGCTCCGTTCTTTTTTGGAGGCCACGTTGCCACGTCTACTCGCAATACTCCATTTCCCGGATTTTTTTGTATATTGTCAAATTTGATGTAGGAAGAGTTTTATGAACGTTGAAAGCAAGTATTAATACTTGGAATGATCTCGAGTTAATTAACACAGTTTTTAATGGTTCATTTTAATCACAAAAATCGATAGAGGATTTTGATTTTTTTCCACGTTTAATAATGGATAATCCAATAGTGCAAAATAGCTCGGTAGTTTTAGTTTTAATTCGATTAACAACTGGTGGAACTATTATAATACTTTCCGGTTCTCTTGCTATCGCTTCCGAACGCCTATTATGCGCTAGGTTTAAATATTTCATTATCCGAATTTACGATTAAATCGGATTAGTTTTATGGTCGATTAAAAGTGGCAGCCTCTCCATAACTTTCCGCCTATTGAACTCACCAATCCGATCCTCTTATTCCATCAATTTCCAATAACTTGTCATAATAAGTTTAATCTTCGAATCTAATAAACCTACCCACTATTATACACGAATTTTCCATTAATTACCTGTTGTTAGCGCGATTTTTTACTCGATTTGAACCATTTTCGATGGTGGACCAAGTGATAGGAATTCTCCATTAATTACCTATCGGTAAGCGCGATTTTTCGCTCGATTTGAACCATTTTTTTGTGGACCAAGCGATAGGAAATAGACCGCGGGTTATTGAACTTTTGATACAATTCCTGCGTCCTTTGAAATTTGGCAACCGGGCGCACCTTGTTGGTTTTCCTCGTGCCAGTGGTTCGACTGGCGTGCATTCGCGAAACGGCAGTAGCGATGGAGAATCGAGCGAGGGTTGCTGGTACTCGGGAGGCATGATGTTCTTGAGAAAACTTCGATGTTTCCGCGATTTCCCTTCGAATTGTTTGGTGTATGAACGGTGTGGTTTTTATGTGATGATTGGCGAGATAACTTGATGTAAAATGAGGTTTGTGGTGTATTAATTATTGTTTGTTTATTGGTGAAAAATTGGTAAATATTTATGATTGTGTGGAGGTATTGCGTTTGGTATGAAGTTGTGTTAGTCTTCTGTCTTATTTAGGGCAATTTTTAGTTCATTAATTAGGTTTTAATTCGAAAAAAGGATCTTCCATAAGGTGATTAAAAATATAATCCGCTTCTCTTTCTTTCTCAAAAAAAAAGATACTTAAAGAGAAAATCACATTAATAGTTTTTCATAACTTCTGCATAAAACGAATCATAAAAGTTTTTCGAACCAGCTCTATTAATTCCGCTCGCGTACTTTACGGAATAATTTATGTTGGGAACATAAAGGAACAATTCGATATTTCGAATTCCCGCCGTTCTGTCGTACATTCGGTGTTTAGTGAAACGTAATAATAATTATATTTAACCAGTTACCGTCAGCTGTTGAAAATTGCGCGGACCAAAAGCCCTCTATTATTCCCTTTCTCGATAAGCAGATGGTCTGGTACTAAAGTGAACCTGTTGTTACCGGTTGCTCGCAGACATGCGTGCTTTTCCCTCTCGAACACCATCTAATTAATAATGGAGAGGAGTACGACTTTTTTTTTAATTTTTATTTTATAAAACTACGTATTCTTGTGAAGTCATTGGTGAAATTTTTTATTTTCTCCGTTTACTATTAAGACCAGAATTAATTTTTGAAGTTTGAAATATGTCACAAGTCATTAACCAATCACAATTAAGAATTGGTGGTAAAGATCGTTTTTAGCGACGTTGTTAAATATCTTCTTACTCTAAAAAAATGTGTTTGTATGTCAATACTATAATTTATTTTTTATATTTCTTGATACAGTTGTAATATAATATGCCTTTATTTACGAATTACTATAAATATCTTAAACTCTAAATTGTTGTTTAGTAAAAATGATAATGTGGCAACATCGAATGTATATTTTTGACTTTTTAATCTTGTCAAATTAATAAAAACAAAAACATAATCTTCAACTTATACAATTTTAAAATGTCGCATCCGAAGGTAGTTAAAACTTGTTTCGTACCATTTTGTGAATATTCTTCATTGTATTCTAAAAAATTGTTTATTTTTGGCCCAAGAAACTTGAAACAAAAAAAAATACAATAACATAACCCTAGATATGTCATCTGTCATTTGATGTTTCATTTCACTTTTGTTCGTTTCTTCTACTCTTCCGAACAGTTTGTTCGAATTCTTACCCCACTAACATTTCAATACAAAAAAGCTCGTTTGTGATTGGTTAGCGACTTTCACGTCACCTGTCAAAATTTTAAATTTAAAACGGCTATATTTCCTAAAATACCGAATATTTTCAGCATTTGAAAACTGATTTGTCTTCTAATGAGTTACATCTTTTCATACATTCGGCTAAAAACCGGCTATATCTCACATCGTACTCCTCTCCATACCCTAACAAGAGGATTATTTTTTTGTAATATTATTTTAACTTGCAGAAAACCGGCGCTCGCATTAAAATTTACGCCAGCATGGCCCCTCACAGCACCGATCGCGTCATCCAAATCACCGGAGAACCCGCCAAATGCATCGATACAATCAGAGAGGTCCTCACTCTAATCAAACAGGTAGGCTCAACAAGTACAGGGTGTCCCAATAAAATGTAAGCCCCTTTAGTGAGCTAATCCATTGAAAAAATTGGTTACTGTGTATTTCAAAAGATAGGCTACTTTTCATCGGGACACCCTGTATACAAAATTTCATTCCAGAGCCCCATCAAGGGTGCCGTGAACCCGTACGATCCGCACAACTACGACGAATTCTTCGCCGACAAATACGGCGGTTGGGGCAACCAAGGAGGCGGCGGCGGCGGCGGAGGAGGCGGCGGGAATTTCGGTAACCGCGGCGGCGGAGGAGGCGGCGGCGGCCGCGGTAACGACGGAGGACCCCGAGGCGGCGGTAGAGACGGCGGAAACCGGTTCGGAGGCGGCGGCGGCGGCGGAATGGGAGGCCCGCGCGGCGGACCCCCGATGAACCGCGGAGGCGGCGGCGGTAACGGTGGATTCGGAGGCGGCGGAGCGTGAGTATTTTTCCTCCTTTATACTACCGAATAGATAGAATATATAGAATAAATGTATCGTTTCTTTTGAAGTTTCGGCGGTAACCGCGGAGGACCGGGAGGCGGCGGCAACCCGAACAGATTCGGAGGTGGCGGAGGCGGCGGCGGTGGAGGCCGGGAAGGCGGTTTCGGCGGCAACAGGGAGAACTTCAGCGGCGGCAATCGCGACTCGTTCGGCGGCAGCGGTTCGTCGTTCGGTTCGAGAGGAGGCGGCGGTTCGAACGCGTTCGAAAGGAACGGCTGGGGCGGCGGCGGTGGAGGCGGTGGCGGCGGCGGTAACGGGGCACCTTTCAGCTCGCCGCCGCCCAGCTCGAGTAACACATCGTTCGGTAGCGGCGGCGGTGGAGGAGGCGGCGGCGGCGGCGGCAGCGGCGGTGGATCCGTTGTGGGTAATAAAAGCACTCAAGTGACGATCCCTAAGGAGGTAATAATTTCATTAATAAATTATTTGCAACAGATTTTACAAAAAATATGTGTATATTTTAGTTAGCCGGTGCTATAATCGGTAAAGGAGGAAGCAGGATCAGGAAGATTCGCATGGATTCGGGAGCGAATATCACCATCGACGAGCCGCTGCCCGGCTCCAACGATCGCATTATCACGATTCAAGGATCACAAAATCAAATACAAATGGCTCAGTATCTGCTACAACAAAGGTACGTTTTGTCCATTGTATTAATCATTTAACCCGTGTATAACGTCTCCTTTAACTTATTGTTAACCGGCGCATTCGCGCGCATTCTAATCCGGGTCTGGAGTTGATAAAATTAATGGTTCAGCTGACTATATGGAGCATTTTGTAGTTAACGACTTCAATAAGTAGGAATTTTCGTTTGCAACTTCGATTAAATTCGTGTTTAAAATATATTGGTCCGTATTCAGCGCCTCATTTTAACTTTAGAGTGACTCTAAAGTCGCGTCTCGAGTCCTTAGTAACTCCATAACGACAATGTAAATCTGTCAATTGAAAGATTTTTCTTAGTTACTCCATAACAACAATGTAAAACTGTCAATTTGAAAAAAATCTCCTTAGTTACTCCACAACAACAATGTAAAACTGTCAAATTAAATAGCGTCCTTAGTTACTCCATAACAACAATGTAAATCTGTCAATTTGAAAGAATCTCCTTATTCGAAATTGTGTGTTACCTTTGAAATGGCTGGGACAATCATCGTATTATATTAGACGAATTACGAGCACGTCGAAACTAAACTCTTGTAAAGAGAGTTTCGATTGTTTCCCTGGTATATCGCGTGTAATATATGCTGAAACTGCGGCTTAATTGAAATTGGCTGCTGGAAATTTGCTACAAAATTTACATTAATTTCTCTCTAATTTGCTTTGGGAACTTTGCTTAAAAATGTACCTACCTACACTTCTCCTGCATCGCAATTCATTTTAATACGAAATGTATTTTCAGCGCAAACTTCGGTATCGATAATATAGGAAGACGCTGAGTTTTGATAAGTAATTACGATTGTGGTGGATAATTTTTGTGTGTTTAATGTACATACTAAATTTAATATCTTGTTTGCATGAACGTGATGAAGTGCGTTGTTTGGGCTCATATGAATTACAAAAAAAAATCTACTATAGTACAGGTTAAAAAAATCTTTAAGATGATGTGTAAAAATCTGTGATAGTTCTGCTTCGCAAGTTCTGGTTTCTTCGTGGGTGAAGATAAAATACTAATCGGCTGGTGTTGTGTGGAAGACTAGTGATTTTGTTGTTCTGTTTCGATTAACAAGGAATCACTATTCATCCCACAAAACGGCCTACTGCATCTGGACTAACCGCTACTTCTTCTCTTTTAATGGTTCAAAGGGCAATTTTATTACGAATTTCTTCCTTTTTTTGTAACTAACAATATGTATTTTTTATTAGGGTGTTTTTGATTTATTTGAAAACTCTTTCACCCGTATTCATCTAGTTTTTTTTTTTATAACCAAATGATTTTGTAACCAAACAGTTTTGTTACTTACATTCTTCTTCTTCCAAATAAGGTTTAAATCGTTCTGGAGCGATCTAAATGGTTCTAGACAGTTCTAAGATTCAAATAAGCAACGTTGTCATGTTTAAAATTCGATATAATCGTTGGTTACAAAACCATTTGGTTATAAAATTTCTGATTACGAGGGTTGGTCAACAATATTTTATTTACCACGTTAATTAATATGAATTAATGGCGATTTTTTTTTTGGTTTTTCAGCGTCCACAACAATGCAGAAAGAAACAATTTCTAAATTCGTCTCGAGGCCTCATCGTTTTTATTATAAGGATAGTAATGTTTACTTTACATTTTGCATTTTATGTTCGTTTATTTGAGATAACATTCCATTCGTTATTCAATGGGCATTATCAAATTAGCAGTTTTCATTAGCTCATTACATTTTTGTTTAATGACACAATATTATTATTATGTAATCGAAGACGTTATTTTCGCAATTTGACTTTTTAGTAGTACAATAACAATTAAGTGTTTTATCTTCCAAAAAATAATTTAATTAACAAGGTCTCTTTTTTTATATAGCATTCTTTTTTTGATTGTTATTTTTTACTTTATTCTGATTTTACATATAATCTGAAACTTGCAGTTTGTATTGGACTCTATTGTGTTAGTTTATTACTTGAAATAGTCCGATTTTCTTTATTGTAAAACTGTCAGGTTTGTAATTAACTTTTTTAATGTATTTTACATACTTAGATGAATGTACTTGATATTTATGTATTATTCTCTATAGAATAAGATAATCGAGTTCAACATAACTTTTGTATAGTACTAACGTCTAAATTCGTAAGCATTTTCATAGTTCTGTGTCGACAAATTGTTACGAGAACTCGCAAGAACATGTCAGTACAAAATAATTTCAATTAATGTTCTGTTCATGAAAATGCTTGTTGATATAGGTTCAACCAAATATATATAATTTTTAAGAATTCGAGTAGTTATTCTGTATTCACTTATTATGTAATGAGGTAATAAATTATTTCGATATCTTTCTTTTTCTCTTGGTTTATCCCGGCCATTTTCCAAAATTGTCACATGCCAAAATGACAAGAACAAATTGAAAAAGAGTCACTAATTTTGGTGTTTTTACTAAAATCTGGTAATAGTATGAAGTGCATTGATATTTGTTTTGCACCAACTATACACTTAACTTGTGTAATAATCTAGTATTCAAAGAAAAAAAGAACTAGTTTGTTATAAATTTCGAAATACCCAGTTCACAACACAGCAATTTCAAAAAAGAACTTTACACTTATCACAACTATACAATTTAATTTTCCAGATAAACCATAACTCGCGATAAGCCTTCACATTCAAAGTTCCTTCCTCGCCTCGTAAATACATTGCATTATGTTCTATTTATAGTGCGAATTTATCGAATCGCTTATCCCGACACTTTTCTGGTTCGTTCCCCGAAGTCGCCCTCCCGTTAATTACGCGAAAGTAAAGCGTAAAATTCACATCCGTTTAGTGAATCGCGAGCGATGGACATGGACAAGTGCACGGGAAAATTACTGATGTAGCTTTTCTCTAAAAATAAACGGTGTTTAAACGGGGACGATCGACGAGTTTCTTGCAGGAATGGAGCTCAGCAGGGAGGAAGAGGATCCCACGAAAATGGGGAGCGATTCGCGAAAGAGGCCGAGCACGATGGAAAAAATCCACCGGTACTTCAGGGAGTACTGTAACAGTACCAGCATACACGGTATGAAATATTTAGCAGAGGATAGATCGTTGGGTGAAAGGTAAGTTGTTTGGTTTTTTTTTTATTTGCTATTATAGATTCGAATATATTTGAAATTTGGATATTCTAGACGAGTTTCTAAATAAACTGCTCCATAAAAATTAAGGAAGTTTACAAATTTGCGATTATTTTAAAAGTTAGAGACTTTTTGATCACCAAATTTTCAAATATGCTAAATTAAATGTTTTCTATCATATTTGAGCGGATTTTTTGCCCCTACCTCTACAATTCATACTAAATTTGGCGATGAAAAAACCTGCAACTTTTAAATTAATCTCAATATTTGTGAACTTCCGTAACTTTTGTTGAGCAGTATATTTGAAATTTGGACATTCTAGATGAGTTTCTAAATAAACTGCTCCACAAAAGTTAAGGAAATTTGCAAATTTTGCGATTATTTTAAAAGTTAGAGACTTTTTGATCACCAAATTTTCAAATTTGCTAAATTAAATGTTTTCTCTCATATCTTAGTGGATTTTTTGTCCCTTCCTCTACAACTCATACTAAATTTGGTGATCAAAAAACCTACAACTTTTAAATTAATCTCAATATTCATGAACTTCCTTAACTTTTGTGGAGCAGTATATTTGTTCCCAATCGATCATAAATCGATCGAAGGCAATGACACAATTCTCATAAAACTTTACAGCGGTCTTTAAATGTACCACATTCTATGTAATTTAAGAACTGTATTGAGAATGTATGTATATTAAAAAATATTTGATACAATTCTTAAAATAAAAATATTTATAATTATCTACCAATGGTTTAATTATATCAATTAGTTTCTTTTAAATATTCTTCTATTTAATGCTGAATGCAATAAAATTATCGCAAAGATTAAAATAATTCATTGCGGCTTTAATCGAGATAACAAATAGGTAAAAAAATAATTGAGACAGCTCACATTACCGCTTCATCGTAAAGTAAATATTTAGATGTGATCTTATAATAATAGATGGTGAATTTTGGCAATGATCCTAATGAAAGAAATATTTATGTTTGGCCGCAGAAGCGTAATTAATATGTACAGTAACCTTGCAATGCATGCGCTGTACTAGCAAAAAATTTCAACACATGTTAATTACGCGTTTTAATTAATAAATCGAGTGCTTATGACAAGAAACCGGCCCCGGAAAAGTTAATTATCGCCGTGAAAAGCGCTTACCTCAAAGGAAATTGTCTTCATTGCCAAGTTATCGTTAACTTAACTTTGGCCTTTTTTTTTTCAATCCATCAGCGACTAACTGGTCATTTATTTCAACGACAAACCTGCATAATCCATTAATCTTAAACCAAAATATATTCTGTTGAAAAACAAGACTTCACGAAGCTTCAAATCTGTTAGTGCCAAGATGCAATATTGTATACAAACGCTTTTCAATCACTCACCGTTGCGATATTAATTCAGAAAAACTTTCATGACATAATTTGGCTCGCTATTTAGCTACATAATTAAAAATACATGGGTGTTTATATATTCGCAATAATCAACTTATTTTATTGCAGATTATTGTGGTTAGGATTAATATGTTGCTCTCTCTCCGCCTGCATCTACCTCATATTGCAAATATACGGTAAATTCCAGCGCAGTCCTGTTATAGTAACTTTCGCCACGTCCGAATCCCCCATTTACACTATCCCATTTCCCGCTGTAACCGTTTGCCCTCTGACCCAGGCCAGAAAGGAAGTTTTCGATTTCTCCGAGACCATTCGCAAAATGAAACGAAACGAAAGCGTCACCGACAAAGAGTAAGCGAAAATAGCCATAAATCAATAGCAAAAAATCGATATTTTTCTGCGCAATTTTATGATCTATATTTACAGGTATCGCTATGCTAAATACATGTCTCTGGCGTGCGAGAAAGACAACAAACTGTTCAAAAACGAAACCACTTTTACGGAGGATTTTTTCCGAGCGATCGATGAGGTAAAAAATTTATTTTTACCTAACGTGTTTAATTTTGAATTGATTCGTTAATGCGCCCTTTTTGCACGTTCCGAAAGCGTCCATCAAAAGTGATGAATCGTTAAAAATTCATCATCGTGTTCTAGACTGCACGTGATGAATGAATAACGAATTATTTTCTATTATACGGCCAAAATATGGCCTAATTTTTAGATCGAAAATATTTAGATCGCTAATTTTTTCCAGTTAAAAATACCATTTGATGAGGTGATGATCTCCTGCAAGATGATGAACATCCCAGCTCCTTGCGAGAAACTGTTCCATCCGATTATATTGGACCACACTGTTTGCTATACCTTCAATATGCTAGATAGGGATGATATTTTTCACAATAACGTGTAAATACACAGCAACATAAATTAGATATAATCTATTTTTTTTTCTAATTATTGTAGCGTGCATTACGGAAACTACCACAATTTCGAAGAAGAAATTTCGGGTTGGTCGAACGACAAAGGATATTTCAAGCAGGACAACGTTTTACAAAACTACCCTATCAGGGCATTTTTGGCAGGAGCTGATAACGCTTTGGAAATAACTTTCTATCAGAATTACAGCAACAACGATCATTTATGCATCGAAGATACTCAAGGATACCATGTAAGTAATTATTTTATACAGGGTGTTAATTAATTCGTATCCTGAATCATCGCCATTTAATTAATTAATACCCTGTATTTCTTTAAAAAAACGATACTATTGCATTCTATTGGGAACGACTAACCCAGTTCGTGTTTAATTAATATCTAATCTAATTCATAGCGTTTAACTACAATTATCTAGGAGAATACTCACGGGCGCAATAAAAAATAATTAAATACATGCACATTTCGTAAATAAAATGTCATTTTAACTCGTGTAAAGTAGACTGGGGCAAATGTAAAAATGGGGTAAATTTAATATTTTTACCTATTGTGTTAATGGTTTTGTTATTTTTATAGTTCTTTTGTGCATTAGACAAGGTTTGTTTCTTATTTTTTCTTTATTATTTTGTAGCTCTGTTATTTTTTGAAATAAATAAATAAACAGCATATCAAATTTTAGAGAAACCAAATATGTATTTACAATTGCCCCATATGTTTTTCTATATAATTGTATTGTCTCTTTAGAACGGGGGTAAATGTAATGAGGTAAATGTAACATATTGTCAACATTTTAAAAAACATGTAAAATCATTTTCTTCCTTTTTCAAAAAAAAAACTTTTTATTACCTCGATTCTTTAGTTTAGGAAGTTGTGAATTTAATGTGGTACCAGCATTTCTAATAAGAGAAAAAATAAAGCCACATTTTAGCATTTAATTTGAACTATACAAATTTTACAACCGATTTGCCCCACTCTACCTTATTATAACTTATTTAGGTTTCATTGCACGCGCCCTACGCAATCCCGCTGATTAAAAAGCAATATTTCAACGTGCCCTTCGAGCGGGTAGTGATGGTTTCCGTCCGCCCCAAGGTGATATCCACCTCGGAGAAAGTCCGCCAATTCGATCCGGACATCAGACAGTGCTACTTCTCCACCGAGAAGCCCCTCAAATACTTCAAAGTCTACTCGCCCAAAAACTGCAAGCTGGAATGTCTCACCAACTACACGTTGAACACCTGCGGGTGCGTCGGTTATTACATGCCCAGTGAGTACAGAGTACTAAGGTCTGGAAATATAGGTCGAAAAAGTGTCCAGTTATTTGAGGATAAAACTGGGTTCATAAAATGGCCGCTAAAAAGCGATGTTGTAAAGGGCGGTTTGTGCGTACGAATTAGCAAAAAAAAAGGTTTGATTCAAACTAAAAATATATACAAAATATAAAAAATATACTTACATTAGCGGTGATTTTGTTGTTAACATCACCCCTCACGTGTCTTCGGTTAATATATTTCGCCATTTTCTCCTCGAAATGTCAGAAAATAATTTTTGAAGTTTTGACAGCTCGAACTGTCATTTCACACAACCGCGATTTAAATGTAGCGCGACGCTGATTGGTTGAGATAAGTTGGTCGTCCGATCGTTCGCCGCGGTGCGGCGCAAAAATGAAGCTCAAAAAGTCTTCAAATAACACATTTTCTATATAATAATGAATTTCCAGACCTTAGAAATATACGGCCGTGGTACAGAGTCTTCTTAAATGATTGATTCTCACGAGATCTAAAAATTTTTGCAACCCAAAGGGCAATGTTGTTATTATTTTCAAGAAATGTCTCTATCTCTGTTTTGAATATAAATCAACACAGCGGCGTAAGAACGTTAATCCACTAGGTTGTTCATAATTTTTACCTGTCATTAATTTAAGGTTTTGTTGATACACAGTTTTCTTCGGGGAAAAGCACAGGAAAAACTACGAAAAATAAACAACACACGTTATTTCTACCGATATTAAAACCAGAATGAAATCGTCCGCTAATGATCGAGTTGCCGTTGACTTGACATTAATGACAGTATTCTAGTAACTTATTTTTTGCGTACCAACTTAAACATAACAAATTCACTACGTTCATTTCGAATTCGATCACTTGGAAATCAATCGTTTATGAAAACTATATTTTACGATACATTTACGAATTCTGTATGCAATTTACAAAGAAAAAATTGATTCCGCAGGAGAAAACGCCACAGCGATTTGCGGTAATTCCAATTACAAGTGCATGGAAGACGCCGAACGTAAGCGTTTTAAATTTTAAACCGTTGTATATTTTATTTCACAAAAACAATTCACCGCAGTTCAATTGAAAGTGAAGCAATTAATGGAGCAAATTGTGGGCGGAAAAGAGAATTTCTTCTGCGATTGCAAGCCGCTGTGTACCGATGTAACGTACGAAACTGCAATTTCGCCTACTTACTGGGATTTTACTCGCCAATTCGAGGCTTGGAATATTCACGACGATGTTATAATCGATAAACAGTAACTCAATTCGAGTTTTTACCAATTTGTTTTTGCTTAAATATTCATATTTCAGCGCGCATTTCGCTAAACTGATAATATACTTCGAGCAGGATTCGTTCCTGACTTCAGAGAGGAGCGAATTGTATGGACCAACAGACTTCCTGGCTAATTTCGGCGGGTTGTTGGGACTTTTCACCGGTTTTTCTTTGTTATCAGCAGTGGAGATTATCTACTTTTTGAGCGTGAGGATGTGCTGCAATTTCAGGCTGCACAGGATTTGGACGGGAGTGGAAAATTAAAGCGCCTCCTACACAAATTTCCTTCGATCGAAACAGTGCGATTTATTATCAAAATTCTACATCAATTACTGCCATTTCCGAATAGATTAAATATACTGTTCGCTGTTGCGTGTATTTTATTTAAAAAATACCTGCAAATCCTTACTATCTCGTTGATGATAGCGATTATCGGTTTTTTTATAATGCTGTCTGTAGGGGTGGTGGTGTAAAAATAATTGATGGTACCGTTTAGAGCGCTAACAAAGCTATTTACCGTTGATCTGATAGGACTTACCAGAGTACTCTCAATCAACCCAGAAAAAAAACCTCTGGTTTTCGCCTTCGCTAGAGACATTTCCGTGGTGTTTGTTTCATTGTGATTTTCAGATGGCATATCAGCGAGGAATTTCACAATATTACCAGCGTTCTCCAAAAGATTATTTACACCGGTCTTCAGTGGTGCAATAATTAAGTCTAGCAACAGCTGCTGGATGATATTTTGAGCATTATGTTTCGAATGCAATATTTTTGTCACCTCTTCGTAGGAGATTTCTTTTTTATCGAATACAAAATTGGCTAGCATTTGCACATTGTTGCGCAATTCTTCAGTAGGGAGATGTATATTCGCTTGAGTTCTCAAGCAATCTGTTAGCAAATTCGCGAAGGTTTTGGTGTCCACTCTGAGCCCGGTGGCGGTGGAAATGAAAAGTCGAGCATCGAGTTTTCCGTTCAAATTTTCCGCTATGCCGCCGGTGTTTTTGTAAGTCTCGTTTTTGATTAGGAAGCAAGTACTCGGGAGGGTTTGGAGGAATTGTTTGTAGGGCGGTAAACTTCCTGCATCTGCTTCGGATTCTCCTGGCAAAGAAGCGGTTATATTTAACAATATCTAAAAAGGAAGAAGGTAAATTTTTATCTAGGGAAGGTAAAATTGTGAAGGTACTTACAAGAATTGTTAAAGTTTGTAATATCTTCGAGCAACTCATCTTCTATTAGATATGGTGCACTAATTAAATACAACACAATCTACTGTAATATTAATTATGGTTTAAATATTAAATTTAGTTAGTAAAATTGTGTATGTATTGGCAACAGTCAGGTATAATATACTCGGTGTGAAGTATTCATATTAGATTTTGCTGGTTCTTTACACTTCCTTTTAATTAGTAATTTAATTAAAAAATACGTGGGTAAATAGGAAATAGGTAACTTAGTTTTGAAATTTTTTAATTATTTTTAAGGTGTTACAATGTGTTGTAAATTCGTAGTTTAAATCGGTAGGTAAAATATTATCAACGTTCGCCTGTATAAGTAATTATTTGCAACTGACCATATTTCTACAGGAAATTAATATTTATTAATTTATTTATCGATTGAACACTTTTGGTCCATTCGTTGTATTTCACATATTTATTAAAATAAATAAGATTTGATACTAGATGTTGCAAAAATTAAATATAACACATAATATTGTAATATTAATTATGAATAAAGGCTGATTAACCGTTGGTTAAAATATTAATAAATTGTTTTATTGCTTAATTGAAAAATTAAATGTGTTTTTCGTTAAAATCCGGCGCTCTTGTTGGGACACCCTTTATTAAAATGTAAAATCGTGTCCTTTTACAATGTAGCTGGGTAATTATAATAAATGCTTAATTGCTATAATAAATTAGCAGCTGGGTTTTTTCCCGGCAGATTGCAATTTTTTTGTAACCTCCAGAGGACCTTCAGAGGAAATTCCGCAGTAGATATTCGATAATGCACAGACATATAAATTTCACCATATTTGATTCCTTCCATCAATTAAGATACAAGAATTGTCCAGTGTACACATCGCATCAAACTCCAATATTTTGGTAAGTTTATTTTTGCATTTTTAAACCACTACTATTTTTCGTAATTAGTTAAAGAATTTTATTAAAGACATAAAATGGTGGACAATTTTTGTGGATAAAGTGAACCGTTTGAATCAGACCCGGAAACATCATTAGCTTAGATTTAATTTAATGGCTGCAGTGTTGATTTTGTTCAACAAATTCCATCTAATTAGATGTAGGTATTACGCACAAATTTTGCAAAAAAAACTAGAAATAAATTATAACTACAATACCCTACATATTCAGTGAAATTTGAATATTTAGAGATCCTGAATCTATGATTAAAATATTGACCATTCCTTATGAAACAACCTGTAGGTATGTATTAATCGAATAATCATTCTGCGTCTCCTGAAATATTGCTAATAGATATTTTCCACAATGACCTTACCAATTACCTCTTGAAATTATGATTAATAGACCTCTTAATGCACTCTACCTTTGCATTTATTTTTCCAGTTAAAAATGAAGGGTTACTTTATTTTCGCCGTTCTCCTCATCATCGCCATTACAACCGAACTCGCTTTCGGCGATTGTCTGTCAGAAAGATTCACAGGTCCTTGCATTCAACTATGGGACAGCGAGGGTTGCCGCAGGATTTGCAAGGAAGAAGGACGAGTCAGCGGCCATTGCAGCTTCTTCGGCCTCCAATGCTGGTGCGAAGGATGCTAGCTAAAGAGTTTTATCGATAAAGATCACACATTGTTTTTTCGTTAGTTTAAATTTGTAGATAAATGTTATAATATACTAATTACTAACCAATCGTACTAAAACAATAAAACATTACCAATAAGAGTGTAGTTTTGCAATGTACGGATTTTCTATGAAAATATAAATGTCGATTGGAAGAAGATGTTCTATTGAGCAGCCACCGAGATCACCAGACTTGACTCCACCTGATTTTCCTCTATGCGGATACCTCAAGTCTGTAAATTCAAGGTTTCACAATTATTGTTTCACCCTGTACAATTATCCTTTTTCTAAGAAATTAAGTAAATTCAAACTCATTGTGATTCAAACAATACAATTTATTAGCAAAATTCAATTTCAAACAGTAATATTGCCGTTGCTAATTTGATTCAATACACCATTTACTACTGCATGGATTTTATTTATAACGGGCATGCAGTTCATTACTATCTCATTAATAATACCATTCAATGCGCTTTGAATAGGATTGTCTGTAGGAGTGGTGGTATAAAATGAATAAATAGTACTATTTAGAGACACTATAATGCGATTAAACGTCGATCTGATAGGACCTACCAGAGTACTCTCCATTATATCAAAAAAAATATTGTTAGTTTGCGTCCTCACTAGAGCTTTTGGTGTATTTTCCACAGTTTGATTTCCATTAATAGGAGTTACAAAGCTGTCTAACAACGAATTCACATTCGTCTTAACCGAATCTATCAAAGAAAGTATTGTATTTATAACTCCATTGGTAGCTTCTTGTACTAGATTTTGCACCGGGTTATTAACCGATTCAGACGACGTTCCAAATGATTTTATAATGTTACCAGCGTTATCCAAAAGAGCATTTACACCGGTCTTCAGCGGTGTAATAATTAAGTCTAGCAACAACTGCTGGATGATGTTTTGAGGATTGTTCTCGGTACTTCTTTTGGAACGTTTCGAATGCATCAAATCCTTCACTTGCTCGTAGGGTATTTCTCTGTTATCGAAAACCAAATTGGCTAGCATTTGCACATTGTTTCGCAATCCTTCAGTAGGGATATTTACATTTACATTCGCTTGAGTTGTTAAGCAATCTGTTAGCAAATTCGCGAAGGTTTTGGTGTCCACTCTGAGTCCGGTGGTGGTGGAAATGAAAAGTCGAGCATCGAGTTTTCCATTTAAATCTTCCGCTATGTCGCCAGTGTTTTCGGAAGTTTCGTTTTTAATCAAGAAGCAATTATTTGCGAGGATTTGAAGAAAAGTTTTATCGGGTCCTGAGCTTCCTGCATCTACTTCAGATCTTTCAGACAAAGCGGTGTTAATATTCAACAATATCTACAAATGAATACATTCGCTGGTACTTATCTACATGTATTATTTGTACAAATATAATTTTAAAGGTACTTACAAGAATTGTTAGAATATGTAGTATCTTTGGGGAACTCATCTTGTACACTAACAGATTGATAATAAGGTGAACTAACAATAAAATGTAATATAATGGTGTAATATTAATGACGTTTTTACAGTATCATTAAAAATATCATCAAAGCAAATACTGTTTGTTCTTTTCGAATCTTAATCCTCTTAAACCCGAATAAAGTGACAAGTTTATTCTAAGTAAATATTTTTTATTTAAGAGTCAGAAATATTGTACTTTTAGTGAATTATTCGTCTAGAATATTATATTTGAAAATGAAATCTATAATCAAGTATTTGCACAAGAGAAACTAGGAATATTTACTTACTCTCAGTAGTTCACCCTGTATAACCCAAGCAAATACATAATGTGATTAATAAAATATTTTTCGAACGATTTTAAAATTTTTTCGAATTATTTTTTTTGTCTATACCTACGTAGATGTTACGATTTTTTAAACATTCGCAGTTCGAATCGATAGGTAATGTTTTCTACATTCACCTGTGTAGATAATTATTTCCCATTGACCACATTTCTACGTGAAATTAATATTCATCAATTTCTATAAATAATTAAGGTAGGTACACATTTTACCCATAAAAAATCATAATATCAATTGCTTGGGTTTTCCGTTCTTGGCGTAAGTTATATTTATTAAAAGATGATAATGTAGATGAGTATTTAATAGAGAAATAGAAAAGGGTTTTTGCTTATATTCTATGTTATTATAAAATTCGATAATATGGATAAATTGGGCAATTCCAATATCTTTTCTGTTTACTTCTTTACAACAACACATTTGTACAGATAAATAATAAGATTTAATTCGTAATCTAACATTTTTAAAAATTGCATTTGATTGTCTGCCTTTTCTTCAAATATTCCAGTCGTAGAAAATTTAGAGATTAGATTAGAAAAGTATTGGATACACTATAGAATGGAGATTTTTTAAAAATTTCACAAACATTAAGCAAAAATTCAAAATACACCTACACTTGACGTTACTTTGAAAGACTCACCGATATCTAAATAAATAAAAATTTGAACAAAGCTTAGTTGGGATTAATAAACATCTTTTGCGATGAGATAAATCATTTATAGTTTACCTGATGATATATTAAACCAACAATGTAGATATGTTTCCTTATTAACAATTCTTTTATTCAATTCCAGGAATATTCTCAGTGAACAATATTCAGTTATGAATTTCAACGCTTATTCAACGCCTTTTTTATTGTTTAAAGTACCTATAACTACTTGGATTACTTAACTGTGTTTATCTCGACTTTTTTATTCGAAGAAATATTGAATTCATATAAATCATCTCCATTTCTACATGCAGCTTAACCATACAAATTGCAAATTAAATTGATTCCAATTCCATGAAACTATCTATTATTGTTCTTCATGTCAATATTGTTCGGTTAGCAGCCGGGTTTTCCATCAGATTACAATTTTTAATTTTTCCCCTGTTTCAATTTGTAAATAAAAACCTGCAGAAAAAATCACGCAATATCAGATAGCATAGAAACATATAAATTTCACCTCACTTGATACCTTCCATCAATTAAGACGCAAGAATTGTCCAGTGTACACACTTCGCATCAAACTACAATATTTTAGTAAGTTTTTATTTTATTTTATTTTATTTTTTACTATTATTACTAGTAGTTAATTTAAGAATTTGGAAGGAAAGAAGTATCCCAGGATATCATAAATGTCTTAATTTAATAGAACAAAAAATATATTGCATAATTAACCCATGTCTTTTAATCCAAGTAGATCTATAACAATCATACATTTTCAACTCATTTCTGGTAAATTTTCTAAAAGATTTACCTATTAATTTGTCACTATATTTTTAGTAGTTATTCCCCAGTTTCATTAACTTTATTTCCCTCTGTTGCCAATCCTACCAACAAATTTATAGATTTTATTTTACTACCATATAGCTCCAATTTTTACTACTCTATCCAGTTTACAAATTCTTACCACACAAAGAATTCTAGTACTTATTTCGATATATTAATCAATCTATACCTCCTGAAATTATTATTAATAGGTATCTACCATTATGCACTCTACCTTTATCTTTATTTTTCCAGTTAAAAATGAAGGGTTACTTTATCTTCGCCGTTCTCCTCATCATCGCCATTACATCAGAGCTTGCTTTCGGCGATTGTCTGTCAGGAAAATACGGAGGTCCTTGTGCAGTTTGGGACAACGAGGCTTGTCGCAGGATTTGCAAGGAAGAAGGACGAGTCAGCGGTCATTGCAGCGCCAGCCTCAAATGCTGGTGCGAAGGATGCTAAGCAAATTTAATCGATAACGATCAAATGTTGTTCTATGCATTTTTCCTTTTCGTAAAAAATAGATTTTAGATGCGTATATTGGTACCATATATGTTGTATGTTAACGTAATAATAAAAAATTGGCTATAAAAGTGTAGTTTTGGAATTTCTATAACTAATAAAGTACGAACCAGGATAAGGGGGTAACGGCATTTCGAGGAGGAAGAGGGTTCCATGTTAGTGACGTATGAAACGTCGTAAACGTCAGTCTGGCGCGAAAATTTAAATTGTATAGTTGATGTAAACGATATAAAACCAATATCTTTCTATAAATTATAAATAAAAATCAAATAACACACAATATACATACAGGATGCTCCATTTTTGATCGCAACATAGGTTATATAGGCTATGGGTGCGATAAAAACAACTTACAAAGGAAAAGGAAAGAGTGACATTTGTGTCATTGCAACTTTTCACTCTGACAACTGTCATTTTATTAATCTTTCTTTGTTCCACTCGTAGAAATGACCATGTTGCAATCGGAAATGGAGCAAACGATATAAAAATAATTAAGTATTAATCTTCAAAACATGAACTTGAATTCAAATTCATTAAAAAGATTAGCCAACAGTTCTAATTTGACACTTTTGTCACAACTTTTGACACTTTTGTCACTGTTTGTTGCCAACCTAATTTGACTTTTGCGTTCCCCTTACATCACTCCCTTATTAAGTTATCCTGCTAAGAACAAAAAATATAAATGTAACACGGTTTCTTTTATTTAGGCACATAAGTATAAGAAAATAAAACAAGAAAAAATGAAACTAAATCTAACAACTCCTCTTCTTTATTGTTTTTAATGTTTCTTGCGGTTGTATTTTTCAAATATAACCACTCGGTAAGTTATTAAGACTATTCAAAAGTAATAAAAAATAATTCGAAATATAAATTCAGTCGTCACTATTACACAAAATGCTTAAGTTAAGTCAAACCGAGACTTTATCTTTCGGTTTCCTTTCGCAAATTTTCGGCGGCGTAATGTCGATAATTCGATCGCAAACGACGCCGATGAAATCGGTGAGGGCTTGAGCTTGGAGGGATCGTTCGAATATATCGTCGAAAACTATCGTAGGAACGAAGGAAATGTTCGGAACCACCGCCCAGGTTTTGTTGCCGTTCTCTGCCAAATATTCATCGGCTTCTTTGCTATTCACACACTTCGTGAACTTCGTCAAGTCGTATCCTAATTCGGAAGCGCACTAAAAATTATAATAAAATCTTAGATCATTTATCGTTTGCTCCATTTCCGATTGCAACATGGGCATTTCTATGAGTGGAACAAAGAAAGATTAATAAAATGACAGTTGTCAGATTGAAAAGTTGCAATCACACAAATCAGTCGCTCTTTCCTTTTCCTTTGTAAGTGTCTAATGGAAGTTGTCTTTATCGCACCCATGGCCTATATAACCTATGTTGCAATCAAAAATGGAGCAACCTGTATATGATATAAGAATAAAATCGTATTGGAATAGGAAATGCTGTGACTGGCCGGATGCGGCATAACGCAAGAGGCCATGTGACAGTGAAGAAGAAGAAGAAGAGGAAAAGCTGTGAGTAAATCGGTTTGTATTTACGTTACGAGCAGTGTCGAATGCTCCCGGTTTGTTCGAGCTCATGATGCAATATATCAACTCCACGTTTTTGGTATCGTCCATGTTCTGTTTCAAAAGGCAGGATTGGTATTTGTTCGCTAAACATTCCGCTGCGCCGTGGTGACACATGAATTTGTAGCCGTTGTCACCGAAGGAAGTGTGCTGGAAATAAACAAGGAGATAAAAATAATTTTCTACATTTTCTATTAAGGCCACAATTCATTTTTGAAGTTTGAAATACGTCACAAGTCATTGACAAATGACATTAAGAATTGGAGGTAAAAATCGTTTTTAGCGACGTTGTCAAATATCATCTCGCTCTGAAAAAAAGGCGTTTGTTTGTATGTTAATGCTGTAATTTAATTTTTGTATTTCTTGATACAGTTGTGGTTTATTTTTGGCCCAAAAAACTTAAAACAAAGAAACTACAATAACCTAACCCCAACCCTAGATATGTCGTCTGTCATTCGATGTTACAATGCTCTCTTGTGATTGGTTAAGTACTTCAAACGTCACGGGTCAAAATTTCAAATTTAAAAGGGCTATATTTCCTAAAATATTGAATAATTTGAGCAACTGATAACTGATTTGGGTTCTAATGAGTTATATCTTTTCATATATTCGGCTAAAAACCGTAAAAAAATTTTCATTTGATGCACATTTTGATTCACACAGAATACTACTTACGATAGCTTTCCCATATGGAACAAATTCCACTGTAATGTGCGATTTAATGGAATTCCAGTTGGGATATAATTGTTGTCCAATAAATTTAACACTGTCATAACATAGCCCCTCGTAGAAAATGCTAACTTTTATGCACGACTAAAAAAATAAATATTTAATTGTAAAAAATGTTTAGGTACATAGAAAATTGTCTTGTGCAGACCGAAGAAATTGTTTATCCAAACCATTATTTATGCCTTCGTTATTTTAAGATATTCAATTGAATGATAATTGAAAAAATAAGCATAGTAAGTACGATTTAAAAATGCAAAAGAAAGTTGTAAAACAGAAAATTTAATTTAATTAGCAGTGTATTTTTTATTACAGTCGTAACTTAATCTAATCAGGACAAAAATAAGTGTAAATATTGTAAATTATTAATTTAATTAGATGTTACAAATCTTATCGAAAACATAACAAAATGGTTTGAATAAAATTCAAAGGATTCTCAGTATTTAAATTAGTTAAAAATGTATTAAACTTACCCCGTGTTTCAATACCGAAAAAATAAGGGCCATTTTGAACAAAACTCCAAAGGAACTTAGTCTTAAACCGGTTAGAGTATTTTTAGTCATGATGATTTTTTGATAATTTAGCGAAAACGCTAATTTCTGAATAATATAATCGCTTGATATTAATGGCTTTGCTGTTGTGATGAGAATGTGAAGATTTCAACCATTCGCTTTTATATGAATACTAAACCAGTAGCGTTCAAATATGATTCGACGCTTTGAATTTCTGTTATCGGAATGTCTATGAAAATATATCACCTTGTAGGCCATTTTTTAAATGTTTTTTTTGGATATAAATTGTGAATACAAAGTCACATTGTATGTAAATAGTACAATGGTTCTATAATAATTTGCTCCCATTATTGGACTCCTTTGTTTCTGTTGAAAATCTCTCGGAAAATGGAAAATATGTTTTACATATTTTTGGCATTTTCGTGAACGAATTGAATAACATTTTCAAAATTCGGAATTTTCGTATTTTTGTATTTCATGTTTAGATTAAAAATGAAGCTAATAGAATTTTCACAAAATAAAACAACTCATTAATAGTTTTGACAGACATTTTTTCGCAAAAAAACATTGCTATAAATATTTTTCCGAATTATTTAAATGTTCTTAAATTCTTTGATTTTCGAAACTAGCATTTATGAAATCCCTCCTCTTAGGCGGCTCAAATGGTGAATTTTTAGAAGATTTTTTTGAAGATATGTATTATTTTACGATGAACCTAAACCTATACAGAGGTACCTAAATGCACCGTTTTAAGATTAAATTTCTAGATTGATGAAGTTGTACTGGTAGAACCGGTGTTAGTGCCAGGTGAAGTCATAAATGAGTCGATATTTTCGTAATTTGTCCTTCACGTCAATGCCACGTAATTTAAGCATTCGCTTGTAATCATATTTAAAACATTTTAAAAATAGTAAAATTATTTTTTTACAATTTTGTGCTAGTAAATACTACCAGCATTAGCACGTTTTTTTCGAATTTTTGTACGAGTTGGCGAGTGCATATTTCACAAGATGTTTACAATTTTTGCGAAGGTACCAAATTCGTGCATAATTTCTAATATTTTCGTGCATTTCTTCCTGCAAATATTCAACGCTGTGTTATGAATACCATCACTAAAGTATGGAAACTAAATAGAGAATGTCGATTTTTATTTTTTCAACACATTTTTTGCTAACAAGTATTATGAAATATAAACAACTTCCAAAGCCTCCTTGCAAACTTCCGGTTGTTGATTTAGCACGGAGCAAATTAAATCTTGAAAACCAGTAAATGCTGCATTTTGATTTCGATCTGAGTACTTATCATTCAACACAATAGTGGGAATAAACGTGATTGCTGGTTTTACTGATCTAGTACGTTCTCCATTATCTATAAGAAGCTTAATATATTGACCGGATTCGTAACAAGTCTTCAAACTGGCCCATCTCAAACCTAAATTCGAAGCACACTGAAAATTTAAACAAACTTATAAATTACTCAAGACTGCTTTCATCGAATGGACTATAAGTTCAATTCGCTGCAGTTTAAATTAACATATTAAATGCAAATTACCTCTCGCAGCGTTTCGTCTGAGCTGGGATAATCGGAGCTCATTGAACAGTAAACGAATTCAGCGCTTTCCTCTTTGGAGAACAAAGATATGGCGCATGCGTGGTAAGCGTTACCGTAGCATTCATCGGGACCATGTTGGCACGTGAAAACCCATTGTCCTGACCTGTTTGTTTCCTGCAATTCGACATATTAATCACATTACTGCGAGCTCAGTAAATATATTGTCAGCTGTCAAATTAGGCAGTCCTTAGTTACTCCATAACAACAATGTAAAACTGTCAATTTAAAATAATCTCCTTAGTTACTCCATAACAACAATGTAAAACTGTCAATTTGAAAGAATCTCGCTAGTTACTCCATAACAATAAAACGAATTTTTAAAATGTCACGATTGTTAAATAACATCGTAATAATCGCGTTGAAAGTGTTGCTGAATTGAAATTACCTGCGTAATAATAGCGTTTAACTTGAATGAAAATTGAGTATTTGAATAAAGTAAATTTTTTGGGTACTTACAGATGCTTTTCCGTATGGAATTAAATCGACCAAAATATCGGGAGATCCGATATTTTTGTATGTAGGCCAAAATTGGTTTGTAATAAAGTTGACACTGTCAGGACATAAGGATTCGTAGTAAACGGACACTTTAACGTTCAATCCCTGTAAAAATTAAAATCACATCAACATCTCTTATTTAATATTCACGAGAATGTTACTAAATGCCAGTTTAAAATTTGCATACTACCTAGTTTACATAATATTATTAATTCAACGAAACAATTAAAAAATCTAAAACAATCATAAACTCCTAAACACATATTTGTTTTATGTAAATATCTACTTATATCTGGTAAATAAATAAAATTAAATAAACTTACCTCTGCTAAACAACAAAAACTAATTGCAAGTAACAATAATTTAAACATTGTTTCTCGATTTAGTACGAAACTAGCTATTAATAGAAACTAAATATGACTAAACTAGAAAATCTGAATAGTACTCTCCTAATGCAAGCGTATACGCATTTATTTTAGTACTTTTACCATAGATAACTAAAAAAAATCGACTACATTAGAGAAAGGCGGTGCTTATTCGTTTACCGGACAAGGTTACAAATCAGTTGATATATGAATCAAACGGACAGATAAAATACTAATTAATGAGCGATCGGTGTATAATGTTGAAAACATGGATTGTTTTTTACGAAACATATGGTGAAATATAACGCCTATTATTTATCTGAAATAAAAACATTTGATAAAAAACATATTATAACTGAAGAGTCAGGGGATTAACGATGAAAGTCCACATTGAACAAAAAATAAAGTATTCAAGGCAAAACGAAGCTTATAGCCCCCACTTTGTTATGTTACAGTATAAGGGGAAACAAAGTTGACAGTCCAAAGTTATAACCGAAATAAAATTAGATTTTTTGTTTTTCATTGTTCTGGGGAATTACATTTTTTTTCGAGTAGTAATACCGTATAGCTAAATATAGAATGGTTTCAAACTTAATTTTATCGATTTATCGATTTTATGTTTGATGGACTATCATCGTTATTCCCCTTGGCTCTTCAACTGTAAATAATACAATATTCCAAAAATTTTATGCCAAGTGAAACTAATTTATTCAATTTATTCAAATGAAGCTAAAGAATTAAAGAGGGGGAAGATTCTCAAAAATAGAGAATTAGAGCTGTGCAAATATTTTTTGCAAATTATTCAAACTGAATTTTATTATAAGTTTTCTTCAAATAATTTTGGAATAAAGAATAAAAGATATCGGAAAAAATAGGACTTTTTCGTAATTAAATTTGGGCTACGGTTTTTTTAAAGCATTTTTTTGGGAAAAATTTCCAAGAATGGACGCATTTTGATTTCTTCGAAATTAAAAACCAAATTGAATTCGATCCACACTTACTCTTTATTTATAGTAAATTTTATGAATTGCATTTTTTATATTTAACTGCGACGGGATCAAATGTTCAATGACTTGAATCAAGTACCTAATTATTAAATTAGGTTTTTTTTTGGTCCTTGTCGTCATTCATAAAATATACTATTGATATGTAGCGAAATGACAATAAAAACTAATTTAAAAGTTTTTTATCTACCATTGTTATCTACAACGTTATTCAAAATCTATTAAATTTCCAATATTTATCAAAACAGGATTTCGTTTGTCACATTCCTCGTGATAAATGATTTACAAAGATTATCTACAGAGATACGATCAAGTAGCTATTATACAGGGTGCAATTTACAATGACAATTTTTTTGAATAAAATTCATTTAAAAATCAGACACATAAATTTTATGTTATTTGAGAATACAATAAGTAAATTAAGAATACTTATTAATAATTTATAATAAAAATGAATTTAATAACAATTTAACAACAAAATTATTTAAAAATATTCTACTAAATTTGGTGTTCATAATGTCTTAACTTTGTTAAGAAGAACTCAACAACGCAACAAGACTCACCTGTTTTTTTAAACATTATCCAACAATGTAGTGGGTTCAACACTTATTTAATGCTTGTAAGGTAAGAATTTTTTTTCCAAATTTGAATTCCAAATTTTTCCCTAGCAAGATACAACACACTTCTGTGTATAAATTGTTGCCTATACATCAGGCGTCATATTCTTAATAACTGGCCTCCACCATGATGTTATTTCACACAAAAGTATTGACAGCTGACAGTAACTTCAAATGGCAATATTTAAGGTTATGTTACTTGGTTAAGTTTTAAAATTTTATTATGTTAATTATTAGATAGTTGTTATTTTATTATGTAAGGTTGTATAGATTAAAAAATGTTACTAAACGTTGAAGAGTTGCAGAATTCCCTTGAAGATCCTTCGTTTGTCGTAGATATATACAATATTGGAAGAGGATTTATTAAAAACAAAAATACCAATGGTCCTCGCATTATATCTAGTGAGAAACTATCTATATGGCGAATTGAAGATGATAAATTACTACCTATACAAGCTGGAAACACCTTTCACAACGCAGAAAGCTATTTAATACAATGGGATTTTACATACACCGCTACTATCGAGAGTAAAAACGAAACAATATTTTTCAATTGGAAAGGTTCTAATGCTACAAAGGGGCTGTCACCTCTTCCAGAAGGTTTTGATAACAATACCTCTATCGTAGAACGTGTTGTACAATGGAGCGAACCTCCCGTATTCTTTCATGCACTTTCAACTCCCTTAATCGTATTAAATGGTAAACACGAAGAGTTTAGAGCTGAATCCCCGCATTTATTTATGGTTCGAGGGGAACTGTCCCAAGAGCTCCATCTCTACGAGTTACCTTTTACGAGGAAAAACCTACGAAGTAGAGGGATGTTTCTGATAGTCGAACCTGCTCGTCGAACAATTTTTATCTGGAAAGGCTGCAGAGTGGATAAAAATGTGGAATTAAACGTTAAAGAAATTAATTTTGGGGATGTCTTGAAAAACTGCATAGAACTCTACAAGCACTTTGATGTAGTGGAGATTGAAGAATCCAATGATGGTTCTTTATTTGGAGATGATAAAGAGAGTTTTTATCACGTAAAAGAAGAATGCAACTTCTCGCCTAGATTGTTTTATTTAAATTTTGTGACTGGAGAATTTCTAGCAACAGAAATAGAATACTCGTTGAGAAAAACCGAGCAAATTGCAGCTTTTCCGTTTCTACAATCGCATATTAGTGTTTACGATCAACCAGGTAATATAATGAACTAATTTTAAAACTGATCCACGCAGTTTTACTATTTTTTAGGGTTATTTTTGCTGGATAATAACCATGAGATCTGGTTAATCTGGAACGAAATGAAACCCGATAACTGCCAGGAATTTTACGATTTAGGTGTTGATGCAGCTACAAGATATGCTAAACTTCGAGAAAATACACTGAAGAAACATGTACCTGTTAAATCTACTGGAATCGAAAGCGATCATCCCGAATTTACCAACATTTTCCCTTATTGGAAATAAATAATTTTATAACAAAAACTATATTATTCAAAGATCTTCACTACAGAGTTGTTGTTAATTCTTCTCAACTTCACTTTCCGGCAACACTTTCTGGATCCATTCGAATAGATGCACAACTTCGCTTTTCTTCAATTCGTGCATGCAATTTCTAATGGCAGTGAACTGAACATTAGCTCCTAGTTTCTTTAAATTAGTCTCCGTTGTTTGGCCCCATTGGATGGGCACCATCGTGTCCCTGTCTCCGTGGCACATGTACAAAGGGGCGTTTAGGCCTTTTGCTTCTTGGTAAACGGCGGAATTTTCGTTCAAAAAAGAAGACAACGTGAACACCCCGGCTAATCCCGGAGAGAATCTGTAAGCGGTGTGGAGTGCTAAAGCACCACCCATTGAGAATCCACCTATAATGAAAGTATTTACGGTTATTCGACTCTACTAAAAGTAGTTTAATAGTGTTCTTACCGATAACGATTTTATTTAGAGAAATATTATTATCTCTTTTAACCTTCTCTAGGAACTCTTGCATTTCTTTTCCAATGGAATTTAAGGTTTCGTCGTGCTCGGGAACAAATGGATTGACATCGTATCTATTAAACCAGACATTACTGATCTACATTTAAAAATGTAGTTTTTATTTAGTTTCGAAATCTAATGTTTTTGTACCAAACCTGTCCGTTTAAAGGTGTGTAAGGTCTGCTGGGTGCTGTAGGAAAGTAGAATTTTATATGTGGTAGTGAAAAATCCCCTATGAGGAATTTAATCCAGTCCAAAACTCCCTGGCCTGTGTCACCTTGAACGTTCAATAATACAATGTAATCATTATAAATCGTAAATGTAAATTAAAGGATATTAAAGTTATTAAACCTACCAGAACCGTGTAAGAAAATCACTGCAGCTTGACACACATTTCTTTGTTTAACTATATGTAAAGGCCCAAGCGACATTTTAAGTTAATTTAAATGAAACAAAAATATTTATGTAAAAATAAAATTCAATGTTGAATATTTATTTTTAAATTCTATAAAAAAAGAAGAATTAGGTTGAAGTTTATGTCATGTCAAATTTTTTGATTGGTTAGTGGCCTCTTATTGCTTGAGGTACCAATTCTATTAAATTGAATTGAAATTTTATAAAATATGGTAGTACACCTACTTATGCTATCATGTTTTATATTTTTTGAACATTTTAATGTTCCAAGTATAACTGGATAAATGAACTTTATAATGTTCTAATCTATAAACATGCCCAAAGCATAACAATTACCTACAAGTGATGGTAAACCAACGGTTTATTTGTTTAGTTCAACTAAAACAAATAAAATAAAACGCAATAAAATGTCTTTAGTTGCTTACCTATGATACTTTTAGTAAGAAATTTATACCAGTATATTTTTATTTGCTTATTTTGACTGAGGAACAAATGTCGTTAAATTTTTAATTTACGTGTGTTGCTTTTATGCATTATTTAATTAAACTATATATAAATTATCAATCAACAATTAGCACCCAATTACATTCCTAATTAAACACTATTGGTATTACGTATATTAATTATAGTTATATACTTCATAATTAGGTACTTAATTACTATATAGGAACCTAATTATAGATACCTAATTATAGAAGTACCCACATTTGTTCAAGCAATTTCCATCCAATATCATAGCATATAAAAATTCAAATGCAATATTAATATGTCAAGGCGCGCATTCCTTTCAACCAATTACTTAGGTGTTAAACGCGTATAAACTCTTTATTATCAAATTTAATATTGTTGTATCACATTTCGCAATGAAATAAGTATTTATTAATCGGAAAAATTATTGGACAAGCCATTTCAATCGGCCGTGTACGAAGGCACCGGCAAATTGCGCAGATGTCCCGAGTTTAAAGCCTCGAATCAATACATAACAAACCTTCATGCTACTTGCTTCAACGCTATTCTTATTTCAAACATAAACATTCTGCTGAACAAATAGTGTTAATGAAATTTCCTTCAAGTGTGCACACGGGCGAGTGTGTATGTGTGTGAATTTCCGAAAAATATTCTTACATAAGTAACTCGAAATGTCGCAAGTTAGACAAAATTTCCACAAAGACTGCGAAGATGCAATTAATAAACAAATTAATATCGAACTGAAAGCGAGCTATGCTTATATGGCTATGGTAAATATTAGCTATTACAAATTTGATAAATATTCATGATTTTGTTCGTAATTTAATAGAAATTATTACCTATTAACATTTGCAAGTTATGTGTGTGCGTTTGCGTACGACTGAATTATCTACGGTATTTCACAATTTTGTACCTATATCGAACATAGGCTATTTTTATTTTTGGCTCATTAATTGCTGTTTTCCTATTATTATTTGTGTTTAACACTTTTAGATGAATTTTAAAGTGCTTTAATTATAGCAAAAAAAGATTTAAATAGAAGTGGAAAGTGCTAATAAATTCACCTAAACTTCTATTACATTATTATCCAATATTACCAACTCGCCTACGTTATCCTTGTCCCTCACTTTATACACTCAATTGAAGTTAATTCTTGAAACATACGTTCAGTAAATTCCATTTAAAAATCACCATTAAACGTTTGTAGGCTTACCATTTTCACAGAGACGACGTAGCCCTTTTGGGTTTCCACAAATACTTCAAAGAAGCATCGGAAGAAGAACGAGAGCACGCCTACCGGCTCATGGAGTACATGAACAAACGGGGCGGTCGCATAATCCTCAGCGAAATACCGGCTCCTGCGAAGCAGGAATGGCCCACCGCCGTGGAGGCCATGGCGGATGCCCTGCAACTGGAGAAGGAAGTGAACGAGGTGCGGTCGCCCATCGGGCGTTAGGCGATCAGAAAGTACCGGTGGCGATTTGTTTCAGAACCTCCTGAGCCTGCACAACGTCGGCTCCGGGCACATGGACATCAATCTGTGCGACTTCCTGGAGACGCACTATCTGCAGGAGCAAGTCGACGCGATGAAGGAGATCGGAGACCACGTGACGAATTTGAGAAGGGTCGGGGAAGGGCTCGGAACGTTCATGTTCGACAGAAAGTTGGCTGAATAAATCCGAAGTTATAGGACGCTTGTACACGAACACCTAAAAGGTGTGATCTTTTATTCAGCGGTTGAACCGATGTCATCAAACTGTTCATTTATTCAGCGATTTTTTAAACATTTTTTTTGCAATCAAATAAAACTCCATTATTTATAATTTCCCTCACATTTAAAAATTTAAATTCAAATTGTCAATGTCAACGTCAACCGATGTCATCAAACTGTTCATTTATTCAGCGATTTTTTAAACGTTTGTCATCTGTCAACGATCTTTTTCTCATCGATGAAACAGCGATTAGTCATCTAATTAATCGGATTTTAAAGAGGATGGATCTGGTTGACAGATGAATTATAACCCATATTTTTCATTCCATGATCGGTTTCGGTTATGATCTGATGTTCCATGCTGAAGTTGTGCATTAAATTTTTTAATTTGTTTCGCTGGTTTTGCAATTTGCAATGGATTCCGAAATCTGCTATTGCATGAGTTTTATTGATTTCTTTGTTTATTAAAAATAGTTCCAATAACTCATCACTGCCACTGTTATTTGAGGACTCTTCACTTTCAGGCTCTGATGATGAATAAAACTCCATTTTTTATAATTTCCCTCACATTTAAAAATTTGAATTCAAATTGTCAATGTAAACGTCAACGTCAAAATTTCCAACCATCCAGCAATTTGTTCGCATAAATCAATTCCATCAGGAATCATTAATCATTAATCATAGGTGAAACGGAGATGGAAAAAAGATCATACCTATTATTCGTATTGTCAATTCTCGCATAAACGAGTCTAATAATGTAGTGTTATTTTTTCGCAAGCGGTTTACAATTGCTTGCAGCTTTTCGAGAATGTTATTTACCTTATATTTTAGATAACTTGTTATATTATTGATCGAATAAATAAAAATAATACCGATGAATTTCGCTGTAAATTGGGCTAATGGTTGATGAGTGGTGTTGAAGAACTATGTCTATATTTCTGATGTATTTTAAGAGCAAAAATAGAATCCTGGATGGATCATTAACTATCAGAGAGTATTTTGCTCAACATTCTTATCAATTTCAAAGGAATAGGTACTATATTGTAATTTACCAACATTAAATAGCGATAGAAATGAGGATGAATAGTAAATTGGATACCTACACCTTCTTTTTTATCTACAAATTAATGAATCAATTCAAAATTTCGAGCCACAAAAAGACCCCTCTATACCTAAAGAATTACCAAAATCAACCCCCTTACGCGCCTAAACAGCCGACCGGTCGAGGTTTTAACCATCAAATTTGTTCGAACACATTACCGATCCACATCTGCATTAAGTGATAATCTCCTTTTGTTATTTTCAGTCGCGTTTCATGTATATACATCTTGACATTTCCACTGAACATTGTGTGTACACCCCCTATTGTAACGATATTGTAATAGGAGACGGGGAATCCGGCATGAATGGACCAGATTTGTGCAGCTCAGAAAATAAATAGGCGCAAGGCGCAACTTCAGTCGGTTCTAAACCGCGACACCGAGCGCACCGCGAACATTATTATTTTTGAGCCGGAGTTGGTGAGAGACGGCGCGCTTTCCAATTTATTTATATCCCGAAATTATAGATGTTTCGAATCGAAGTGGCGTATTTTTAGTGGATAATTTCATTAACGAGCCATTGGTGGAAGAATGCAGTTTCCGATACAGCGGTAAATATTTTTCAACCGGTCGAGATTCTCGCGATAATTGATTTGTGATTTATTACATTTCGTTTTGCGCTGGTTCTGAGGATTTTATCGGGATTTCATTTTTGGTTTGTGTGGTATTTTCCGAAAAGTTGGCAATTACATCGAGCGTTTCTCGCTTTATTTTATTTTGATTTATTTATTGTAAAACGCTTTATGTATTTATTTTTGAAATGTCTGGCCTAAATTTATCTCGCTACCGATTTTATAGACATGGATTACACCATTTAAATGATTATTTTATTGGATTTTTGTGTGAAATCCACGCTACAGTCCTTTTGCCATACTTTTTTATTTATTTTTATTTTTGTCAGCAATCCAAACTATTTTATTATATCATCGTATCTTTTTAATCCTGCTTATGAAATCGAATAGAATTGAATAATAATCGCCTTACCTTCAGGTTGAATTTTAATTGTCTCCTCCATTTTTGCCAATTTTTAAGTTAATCGCTGTCCCAAATACACCGGAATTCGTGGAAATTATAATTTCAAATATTTGCTTATTTACATAGAACGGTATAAAAGAAACAATCATCATTGATAACTGAGTCTTGAGGAAAATATTAAATGCAATACTAACGATTAATTAAAAAGAACACATTTTATAAATATAAACAACCAATTTTCTGGCTGTAATTAACCCAATTTCCACATGAATTAAGTTAGGCAATATTATAACGTGCAAAAGAAAACCTTTGAAGATTTCCAAGTCATAAAAATTCAATCAAAATTCGGCTAACGAAATTTAACGAACAAAGTTTGAGTAGGTATATAAATAGTAACGTTAGATATAAAACGCCAGTGTTTATTTAAAAGGATCAAGATTCGACCTTTCCATTGAATATCAGCGGACCTTTAAATTGATTAACATTCTCGGTTTTGAAACTGTTTTAATTTCGGCGCTGGTAAAGCGAATGTGCATTAAATGTTGCAACATAATTTTTAAAGTATCGGTCCTCTCGGTTCTCTGATGGCAGATGGCCTTAATTCACGGGTTTTTTTTCACATTCAAATTCAAACGGTGCAACCAAAGCGAGCCAAAAACTCGCGATGAATTGATACATTTACGAAAGATTTTTATCGGCGTTAATTCACGATGGAAAAGTCAATTTAGGTTACTGAATTTCAGTACTGATTCGGCCAAAAGAGATGATCTCATCGAGTTTGTGGGATGCCAGTGAATTTACGACCATTAATTTCAAATTCTCGTAATGATTTGCCTACATGTGATTGTGCAATCGCAAGAACCCGAGCCTCAAGAACCATCGACACTTACGAAAGACTGCAGTTTATTTATACGAGTAAAATTAGGAAACTTTCAATAAGTTATGTTAGGTACAATTTTATCGGAACACGCTAAAAAACTATTCTGGCCGAAGAATGAGGAAGTAACATCCATCAAGGCCTACAAGAAAATATACGGAGTATAATATTGAAACTGTTTATAGCGGCAGTGTAAGAGATGGAAAACGAAAAGTGCATAAATAACTGTATAATAAAACACTTTATGAACCAATTTCAACAAAATTATTTTTCTTCTATCACAGACTCGCCAAATATTCACATTTTACCACCATCTAGTGTAGTGTAAAAACCGATTTCAACAATATTGAATTGTAGCAAATTTATCAGAATTATTTATCTCTCAAAATTATAATTAGTACAAATATTCTATAAATAAAAAAAATCATATCTTCACTATTTTTAACAATCAACTTTATCCGCTTTTAAAAGAAGTTTAGAACATTCTCTCAAGTCGTATTTATCACTCTTAATGGGCGAATTAGGTTTATTTGCATTTTCTGTTAGCACCTCGAACGGAAGGACGAAATAATACCGAGGTTTTTGAACCAAAAATCTCCAAAATGCGCCATTAACGTGATAAAAAACCGATGGAACACCCGGGTTTCTTTAAATAAAAATTTCGATTAATTATTACCCAGTTAATACCTCTCAACGGCGGTGTTCAACGGTTCAGATCGCTTTTAAAATTCCCGACTAGCATTAACAAATGTCTTTCTAGAAATAGCTGACTGATCTTGAGAGATTTCGTTTGTCTCTGGATTACAATCCCATAAGAAAGTTCTCTCATATTCTATAGTAAAGTAACCATACAGAGCATCCAGTTAACTTTCTAACTGGATTGCTTTATTATCGTCTGCTAGTTTTAATATTTTTATTTATGATACCTAAGTTGAATTTGTGAAATTTGTCTGGAAAATAAATACAAGTGTATCTTGAGAGAATTGTATTCTAGGAAGAATTTTTTGTACTTTCCTTATTGTGATAAGCCCTGTACGTATTTACCAAACTAATTTTTTTGATTGCTTAACTCCGAGCGGAGTGAACTCCCAGTTCAAATCCCAGTTCAAATAATGTTTTAGTGCGTTTTCAAATAAACTTTTGGGTTGTTGATCCGTGGAATTTTCGAACGAAACGCCCAGCGATTTAACAACATAATCATTAAAATTATTATTATACTTCTGTTCGCAGGTCCTTGAAAAGGAAAGCTCGTTACATCAGCTAAAGCGCCGATTCAATCATGAGACACTTTTGCCAAAGGAAGAGATAAAACACAAGGGAAAATGTTAATCAAATTGTTCGAAACAGTGATTTGCCTGTGCATGTGTTTCTCGGTAATAACTCCCTATTTCGACGTAAAACCCATTAGTGAACGGACTCCTAAAAAACACGTGCTCCCCAAAATGGTGCAATCGGATTTTTCTGACAGTTACTACAAACAATCTAGATATACAAAATTCGACAAAGTAATGACTCGAATAAATAAAATGGACGTCGAAATTCCCGACGATGGGCCCTCCAAAATTCGACATAAAAATTGGAACAGTCGTAAAGCCATTTCTACCACAACCACCAAACCTACCACCACCACCGAAATCGATCTGTTTGCCGAAACTTATGGAGAAATATCCGATGATGAATATTTCGACGATTACGAAAACACATTGGTAAGTACCTCTTCGATACCATCTAGTTCAAAAAATCAAATTATCTCATTAAACAAAGAGGTGAAAGTGCCGGACACCGCGTAATATTTGCGCTTTTAATTTCTATTTCAAATAGAGACCCTCCAACGATACATGCATACAAAACGACAGTTGTTTGCTCAAGATATTTTCACTGATTCGGGCGGTCTGTCGGTTAAAATGGTAGATTGAAACTTTCAATGTTAATAATAACGATTTTCAGCCGGTCACAAATGTTAATGACTAACCAACAAAGGAATGTCAAGTCGGGAGGATCGGATGATTTGCATCATGCTTTAATCGAAACAGGCTTGCACTCTTCAACTGAAATTGAGTGTAAGCGACCCGTCGCAACTCATAACTCCGATGTTATTAGTACAGGAGATACGAGACTCTTGTATCACAAGAGAGCCTCGATTGATTACGTTTATTTATAATTTATTTATTTTTGTTTAATGTTAAAAAAAGTGTAGAGAACACCTGCAGTTGCTACCGGGGAATCGTAACGTACTCTCACTGGCATTGAATACTAAATTTATGTCTAATTATAAAGTGCATTTCTCTGTTTGATTGAGCAAACTTCATATAGTGTTCTTGTGCAATATCCTTATACCATCAAGCATAAGATCCTATAAATTAATAACGATTTTCCAGTTTAAATTGATGCAAATTGATCAAATAATATGCAATAAAACTTATTATCGTCTGGTGTAAAATAATGAAATACTTTTCATTATAATAGTTAATTAAATTTTGAACAAGCATTTATGAAGATTAGTTATAGTAATAGAGAAATTAATTTCTTATCTCGAGTCGTTAATGATGGGAGTTTATTACACATTCGATTAATGCGCGAACGGATAAAATTTTATTCTTGTTTCATTTTTCGAGTGCCTCGCGCTTGAAATCGTATCGATCACAATAGGAGTCGATTTAGATAAAAATAATTAGCCATTTTCCGAATCGTGATTCATTTAGGACAGTGAACTCGGGGAGTCGATCTTGTCGAGCCTAATCGACGTTTTGAGAGGTCTGCTGATTTTTAAAAGTTGTTGGAATTTCAGGGAGTTTTAAAAAATTTAATCCCTGTCACTTGCACCTTTACGAACGTCGTAATTTACCGTGACATTTACGGTTTCTCGTGATTCTTAAGATCCGACTTTTCCGCTTTGCCTATTGAAATTTTTAAATTGCACTTCGTTAACTTGTAGAATTTATGGTGAATCCGTTATTGAACCTTTCGCTTTTTCCTATAGCAAATTTTAATAGCTCGAAAAATGTTTAAATTCAGTAGTAACTTCACACGTTGTTTAACGAATTTTTAAAAGGAGATTCGAGATTGGTTGCAATTAAATTTCCCCGAAAATAAACGAGGAAACAGAAATTAGCAGTGTCCCACGAGAACCGGCATATTATTACAGCATTTATACGTTGAAAATAACCCGAAAGTATGTCATTTTCTGAAAGTATTACGGTTTAATTGCAGAGCCTCGGATGAAATCGCTTCCTAAATTTTTATAATTAGGAATTTCCTCATAAAATGTCGCGCTTGGATTTATGATAATTTTATCGATCGTTACAAATAGTGAAATGTCCAATAAACATTTGAATATCTAATTTATTAATGAGTAGTTTTTGCTTTACCATAGTATTATGTATTTTTAATTAGTTAGGAAATCATGAAGCACTAATAAACTTCAATAATAATTGAACAGGGAGATTGTTAATATTTAAAGTGAAAGCCGAAACTTATTTATACAAATTCAAGTGTTAAATAGAAAATAAACTTTTATAATTCCAGTAATTTCTATTCTATTCACTAACGGAACTTCCTATAAGCTTAGTATTTTCTCGAACGATTCCACTCGAAATCCATCTCGGTTAATTGAGTACTTACCTAAACACATCATTAATTACAACGTGTCAAATTATTCGTGAAATTGCTCTAATAAAAACCCATCGACCGACCTCCGGTTGTATTATACCAATTACCTCGGCCCACCGCGGTTGTCGAGAATAATGATAATATAATCAAAAGATAGAAACACCGCTAGACTTGACGGCTTTCCTCGACGAAAAAAGCCAATTTAAGCTAATTGAGCATTAGTGGGAATGCATTCTTCGGTCGTTAAAATACACTGAAAAATTTCGAGTTGTACCGTCACCTTGAACTTGCGTGGGTTGGGGAACTCGAACTGGCAAAACCTCAAAAATTGCGTTTTAAACCATAAATTCGAACGAAAATTGCATTGAATTGCGATCGCAATCGTAGAATAGAGTTTCTTAAAAGATGTTTTCTACAGATAAAATTGCTACTTTATGAGTTAAATGCGAAACGCCTTCGTATTAGCAACCGGAAATTTCATATTATTGAAGTGTAATTAACAAGCAAATGTTTGCTATATCCAGCTATTTATGTGTATATTTCTCAAAACTGCAAATTTATCAGCGTGTGCTCGAACACGTCTGTTAATTGTTCCGATTACATTGAAGGCTCTTCAAATTTTAAATTCCTATCCGGGCCCATCGTATAGTTTAAAATAATTTTCAGACACTTTTAGATCTCGATTGTATTATCAATAAAGTTCACGTACGGTGTCAATATTGCTCGATAAATGATGGTTACATCATTCACTTCGTGTAATCGCGTTTCCTACAAGTATTCATCGGAGAACTAGAACTGGGTCTGTTTGTCATTGTTGCAGATTTACGATAATTGATCGATTAATTCAGATGCACATTCGCTTTAATCAATTTCTTATGAAAACCTCAATGAAACTAATTGGGCTACTGTTAATAAATTATCCGAAACAGTTAATGAACTTATGAAAGCATTTTACTGGTTTAGATTAGTTAAAAAAATCGGAAATGCATCGCTTCACAGGCGTCGATGGCAGTGAAAGTGTTAAAGATGATAATTTAGAAATTATCTCGACCGACTGGGAATTATAATTTTTTTCTGAAAAACTGGTTATTCCAATCCTCCGGAGCATCCGAGCTATTTGCGATGAAACTTGATATAATTTCTGTACAATCTAATGTGCATTACTTATCATACACATACCACTTATCTGTTAATTTTATTACTTAATTATTATTTGTGTGACAGTCAACACACATGGATGCAAATAATATAAACTGTGTTACAAACCTACTTAATCTTTAAAAAAGAGCGCTTTGTTGAATCCACAATATTAAAATTTTAAACGCCATGGAATTATTTTAGTGAAATGTTTTGACGCATAACAATCATTTATCGGTTACATTGATTCCATGAATTTTAAATATAAGTATTTTATGTTTAATTCATGCATTTTTCCCCGTCAATTTGATGCTGATATTAGGTATGAAGAAATGCATAAATACGATAATAATTTAATAGGTTAACAACTCTAAAAGCTGCTAAAGATGAAAACACTTATCGAGAATTCGTATGAAGAGTCACGTTTCAAAGACTGCTATAATTTTATACTTCGAAGAAATTTAAACCAGTAAATTGCAATATGAATTCACTGAGATTATACCCCATTTTGTCATTGCTAACACTCCTATTTCGCAGTAGTTCTCCCTATTTAATCGAAACTGCATATTTTTCATTTTAAAATACAGTAAATGTAATTAGAGTCATACATATCACTATCGTAAAATGATAACCTTATTGGAAAGCCCCATACTAAGCAGTTTTGTGCAATTCTAGGGGAATTACAGAAACTCAACTATAAATTGTTAACGATAAATTAACTTTAATGTTTCGCGTACGTAAACACCTATAACAAGCATTTTAATTAATCATTTTTACAAATAGAACAGAAGGAAGTGCATTTATTTGCTCGTTAAAATCGCTTCAATAATAAATAAGATCGTTAAGTTTATTACCAGTGTTTTTATGTCCACTATAAGCCGGAAAAGGGGACTTTGAGCTCAAATTAACTTATCCAAAAAAATGCTACTTAAAAAATCGAATAGGTAATTGACGAATTAAAATTTGTATAAAATTCTTCAGACAGTTGTTAAATAACGCAGCTCTGATAATAGAACTGGAAACTACAAGACGGAACGGCAGACACAGCATGGTCTTTTATCGAATCTACACGCAGCGCGGCGAAAATAAATTTCAGTTATTTCGTCGTCTTAATATGTAATTTATTCTTCGTGCTCGGCGGTCTCGGATAAAAGTGAACCACACGCGACAAGTGCCGCAAGGTTGGAGCTCTCGAGCACACATATAGCGGTGTTCTATTCATAGGTCGAGGGTTCAAATTTATGCATCGCGAGATGGCACAATAAAAAGAAAATTTGTACCGATCTGAATCCGGTCACGTCCTCTCGTTATTCGCGCGACAATTCCCAACCAGCTCTCCGGCCGATGGAATTTTATGCGAATAGATAGGCTTCGATTCCGAGCTCCCATTCAACTTCCCGTAAACAAGCCAATGCATTGATAGAATACTGGTTTAGCCGCGTTCTGTTTCACTTACAGCATCTTCAATCTGTTACAGCATCTCTTGCTTCCCTTTAACAGCGAATTTTCTCTGTTGCAGGACGACGAAGACGACGAATTGGAGTACGAAGACGAAGACGAGAATCTCTTCGACGAGATCCAAGCGGAGGAGCCCACGGAGAAACAACCATCGAGCACATCTCAGCCTCGAACAGTATCCAAACTCACCGAATACAAATGGACCCATTTCGGCACCAGAGCGAAGGTGGAGGAATCCATGAGGAACCAGCTGCACGCGAACCCATCCAAAGAACGTACGTCCGATCGATTTGCGATGAAAAATTTCGAAATTGCAATAAACAAACCCGTTGCAGAGATCAACGTGAACGCGGTGATGGAGCATTACACTCGCGTCAATCAGCAGTCCATGTGCAAGAGGCCCCTGCTGAGAGTGATACCGGTCCAACTGGAGCATCCGGATCCGACGAGGAGTTATATCCCCCCTTGTACAATATTATACCGGTGCGCCGATGACTCTGGTTGTTGCAAGAGGGACACGAAATGCCAGTACAAAACGAGACAGCTAGTCTCGCTGTATTTTTACGTAAGCCTGTTCATTTATTTCGCTTTAATTGATGGACAACAGAGGTCCTAAAATGATTGCAAAACTGGTCCGATTTCCTACAGCAGCTCTACTTTTTCAAATATCGAAGTTAGGAATTTAAAATCTTCTAGTAATCCAAGCTACTATCCTACCAAATTCTCCAAGCTATTATGCTCCAGGCTTGTAGGATTTCTCCAGAGATTCCAGGCTTCTAATGACTTCTGTTAGTAGGCTTGTTTTACAAAGTTAGATACAAGCCCGTCCATTTATTTCACTTTAATTGATGGACGACAGAGGTCCTAAAATGATTGCAAAACTGGTCCGATTTCCTACAGCAGCTCTACTTTTTCAAATATCGAAGTTAGGAATTTAAAATCTTCTAGTAATCCAAGCTACTATGCTATCAAATTCTCCAAGCTATTATGCTCCAGGTTTGTAGGTTTTCTCCAGAGATTCCAGGCTTCTAATGACTTCTGTTAGTAGGCTTGTTTTACAAAGTTAGATACACCATAGCTTTCTTAAACAAGTACTCGGCACAAATGGTACAAAAACTATTAGATTTGTTAACACATTTGTTAACAGAAATATCTCAAAAAGCTAGAGTTGCTGTGCCAAAAATTTATTTTAATCCTGCACGCCAGTTTAATCTACAAGACAGAGAGAATGTCTTATAAATTTATTATGAAATTTCGTTGTAATTGTCATAATATTTATCCAAACGTATATACAATCAGCATATTCCTGTCGTAAAAATAAACCGGACGTTATCCTAGGCCTTTTTCGATGACACCGGCCGTTTGGTGACCCAGATCAAAATGTAATTCGATAATTTGCAGGCCGGCAAAATAAATAAATTCCGCACAAAAACCGAGCGCAATTGTGATTTGAAAATAACGGGTCTCTTTGACGAGCATGCCAACTCGGATTTATTTAAGTACTTCCTAGAACTATTTTTATTTGGCGCGTTTAGTGCTTATTTATTTTCTTTCTCCCTGGTTTATTTCGAATTGTTTCGCAGGCGAAAGTGATCGGGAGGGAGCACAGCACGATTGAGAGATTGGAGTTTTACAATCACACGGAGTGCGCCTGTAAGGAGAGAACCGAACAGGTCCAGCCCGAGAGTGGAAAAGGCGCCGAAACGAAATACCCGGAGAGATTTTTCTTTAACAGAACTACAGAAAAAAATTTGATCGGGTAAGTGCTCCGTTAAAAAAAAATTACCACCCTTTCTGCTAAACTTATACTCACGTAGCTGGTATAAATAATAATATTGTGTCCTGCTTAATTCGATGAATTACGACTACTTGCGTAGTGCAATAGAAATAAAAATTACTCCAACTGCATATAGTCATAAACTGTTACTTAATAAACTGTGTAGAAATTAGTGGGAAAGCACCGTTTATTATCTTTTTTATTGTTTTACAGCGTTTTTGTAGGCTAACCAGAAAATTAAAAATAAATATTGTGTAGTATTATATGCATGTTTTGCGGTAAATAGAAACACAAGGTGAAGTGCAATGTGTTTTAGCATCAAATTCAATAGTATTTACATGCAAATGCTTTAGAATAAGCAGTGATATTTCCAGGATTTAATTGCATACTCTTACATATTTTTATATCCCTTGTTGACCTTTAAAGATTACTATTATAACTACATATTTGCATCAGTCATATTTATTTTGACTCATTTTGAAATCTCTCTAATAGTGTTAAAAAGGTGAGACGTCCGTCCAGAACTGAAAGCGACTGCTTATAAAAAACGCTATTGTTTGAGAAAAGGATCAGATAAAAGCCTTTTTTACACAATGGATTTCTTTTAATGATCTTAATCGGTACATTTGAATTTACATCGTAAATACGAGTACCCGATGGATGCATTTTCGGGCGCACCCGCATTTCTTTTTTATTCTCCCATAATCTTCTTATTTCGAATAAAAAACCCGATTACACGAAAGGTGTTGCTGTAATCTCCACATATTTTTCGAGAGTCCTGCTGTTAAATAACGCATTAATTTGATATAATATATTTCGAGAAGTCCACCTTCGTTATTACGAATCGAATACAGATCGAAGGTAATAGCAAGAACCGCGACATGTCACAGCGCATTCGATCTTCATGTTTCCAGCTATTTCAGTCGATCTGTATGCATACAAAACTTTTGTAATAAAATTGATATTTTCTAGCCATAAATGCAACTGTCCAACACCCTATCAGGCGACGAGTATTTCCCCGAAATGCGTTTGCGACTGCGACAAATTCGAGGAGGATTGCATACAGTTGAAGAAGGGAAAAGAGCATTTCAGTATGATGAATAGAATGTGAGTCATTCCCGACTTCTCTTATCTTTCGTATATTTTATTTTGCGGTTATTTTTTTTTGAATAGATGCATTCAAGACGGGGAATGTGGAATTCCAACATGCGAATACGGTACTTACACGGTGGAAGAAGGTAAATGTCCCACCAAACAAGACAAATTGGAGGATTTTCGTAAGATGCGGATCAATATGTAGATACCAATTAGCTGATGTATTTATCATAAATAACGAATAAGTATAATATCTGTGATCATCTAGGATTAGAAACAGAAAAAAAAGTAATAATTGTAAAAGATCATTAGATAAATTCGACGTGCCGCGGTGTCAAGTTCGATATATTTATATTTTAAGTACCTACCTTTATAATTAATTGAACTATTCGTTTTTACGCTCGATTTTATATGGTTAAATTAAACGTTGTTTTCAGGTTTATTGCTGATTGACATTTATATTACCTGTATATTCTAATTAAAGTATGATAAGTCATTTTGTAATTGAAATAAAAATATAATTATTAATTAATACGTGCGTGTAATTTCTATTTTGGTTTGCTGCTGTTGTGGAATTTTTAAATACAACTAATAAAATTATGATTGGTGCTTTTAGGATATTTTATTCAGTGCAGAATAATTCTGAGCGATTTTTAATAAATGCATTAAATTATTAAATATTCAATTAAATTTCTAAATTACTCTGCGTAATGATCGGAAAGAGTTTCCACACAAGTTATGATCTTCTTAGTCTTTCTCTCGCCGAAGATTGTTCGAATCCTGAATTTTCCTTTCATGGGAAAGTTATTGTAACCGCTGTCTGCGATATTGAAAACAAAGTTTTTCAAACTATAATGCCCCTAAAATTAATTAATTAAATTATTTTAATAACAACCCCTTCGAAGGAATACTCACTGCCGGTATGGGACATTTATCAGGCTGCTTGACTCCGATATTACTCATTATTAATATGTAATATTTGGGGTACATTTTCAAAAAGAACGGACAGGGATTGTTGATCTGCGGAATGAAGGTGACTTCTTTCGAAGCTCCGTTGAGTTTTTCAATTTTTATGGACACCTGAAATTTGTCGAAAGATCATTTTACCGGACCTGAAATTATCACACAAGTAATTACGTAAATATTATCATCTATGGGTACTGGAAAGTCGAAATCGAAGCTAATGGTCTTCGCAGTTCGATTGAGTTTCGTCAATTTTACATTCGTTAATGGAACTTCAACATCGGCGTAATCTGGACCAGTACAGGGCCCCATCGATTCTATCACGTGTGCATATTTCGTAGAAGCCTAGAAATTACCAATTTAATAGATATTTAATATTAATTTTATACGAAAGTGGCATACCCAAATCGTACCCAAATTACACCCTAAAATAAATAAAACAACGATTCGAACCATCCTGTACTACTGCAGATAAAGAACTAAAGCATATCCGAATGTAATATTTTAATGATTTTGAACATTAGAGCATATTAATGCGATAAGAATCTGCCTTCTGATTAACACGTTGGATACGGGTTTTAGAATTTTATTGTTATTTTTTTTTTAGTTTTCCTGTAACAAGGACATTTTAATACTTAGTTGTAACATGAGGCACTTTGAATGCGAGGTATTTTTATTGCTACTTTCGCATAGGTAGTCAAAACAAACACTTATAGGGAACAATAAATTTTAAAACTAACTATCTCGACGAACAACAACGCAAAATACAGATAAGTGCAAAATTGTTGGCAATAAGGCCAATTCTACGAGTTAAACAAAGAAAGATTATTAAAATAACCGTTGTTAGAGTGAAAAAGTTGCAATCCTACAATATCACTCTATCTTTTTCCTTTGGGTATATGAAACTAATGGAAGAGCTGTCTTTGTTGCACCCATAGACACCATATTGCGTACAAATTTGCACTTGTCTGTATAATATTAAAAATGTAGGAAAATTGTATGAAGTATGAGATTTTAATACTCTTTAATTATAGGGTAATAGGTGAGAATAAGAAGTAATAATAATTTTTGACACGAGGCATTAGTGCTGCACAATTCCAAAGCTTAATGGTAACAGCATTTAACGCTCCATTGAGAATAAATTATTGTTAATGACTGATGACACAGTGAACACAATCAGTAGTTTTTTATCGTGCTGTTTAATGGGCTGGATAAAAAAATTATTTTTAATAACACACGGCTAAAATTAGCCGCGATTAGTCAGTGCCTGATCGTTTATTTTTTTTTCTAGGTTTAATAACTCTTTTATCAAACTCAATATATCGATACAAAATATTATCCAGTGGCGTTAAAAATAGGGAATTTTCTTGTATAGATTGTAGAATTTATTGTCTCTTTGAATTAAAAACATTAATGTCTCATGAAAGTAATGAAAAATATTTATTGGCTGTTTAAACGTAAGAACGGTAGCTGAATCTCTTATAGGTAAAAGGCAAGATTTAAAAAAACGGAGCAGCTAAATTGACGTTTGGTGACGTTTACTGTTGTTGTTGTCAATGTCAATTCTAGTCAAGTTGGTCAACAAATGTTTTTTTAGTTAAAAAGCGAATTTTACAATTTAAGAAATGGATACAGCAAAGTTAGAGGTAAATTCCACGTATTTCTAACACTAGTATAACGATTTTATTTAAATTCGATATTCAATTATAGATGTTCGATGCAGAAGAAGAAATAGTACAAGGGGAAATGAACATACCAAATCAACCAAATAATTCGCAAATTGGTCAACCAGATTTTAATACTTTAAACGAGCCGATTAGAGATACAATCGTGAGTAATTTTTCTCATTGGAGTTCCTAATAATTTCTACAAAGAATTGCTTATATTCTACGTTTTTCATGTCTTATTTTACCTAATATTACAGCTAATAATTCTTTCCTATTGCAGCTCAGAGATTTGAAAGCTGTAGGTGTAAAATTCGCATATGTGCTATTCCCTAAAGAAAAACGAACCTTGTTACGAGAATGTAAGTTCAATCATAATTTAATAACCTACAGTTAAATTAACACTTAATTATTTGTTTATACTGTATTAATAATTGTAACTAATTTTTAGGGGATTTGTGGGGTCCCTTGTTCCTTTGTACATTTATGGCTATGTGAGTATGTAAACCAAATTATACAGGTAGATGCAAAATTGCTTGCAATGTAGACAACACATTGGCATTTACCCGTTTATCATCATAATCATTGACAAATTATTGCCCAATTTATGAAAAATTTACATTTTAAGGTTCCTCCAAGGATCGCCTACCAAAGACGATTCCAACGATGGTGGTCCGGAATTTTCCCAAGTATTTGTTATCGTTTGGATAGGTTCGATAGTAGTCACTTTAAATTCGAAATTATTGGGAGGAAATATGTAAGTTTGCTAAAGGATCTTTGATTATAGTTGAAAAAATATTCCTTGCAGATCGTTCTTTCAAAGCGTTTGCGTGTTAGGATATTGTTTATTACCAACAACCATTGCTTTAATCGCTTGCCGAGTAATATTACTAACAGAACAATCAGTATGGTTGTTTTTCGTTAGATTGGTTATATCTATGGTGGGTTTTATATGGGCAACGTATGGTAAGTATTAGTTATACTGATGTATTATTCATGAATTAATATTATTTGTTATTTCAGCTTCCATCATTTTTTTGGGAGACAGTCAAAAACCAGGAAGGAAAGCTTTAGCAGTGTACCCGATAGGTCTCTTTTACTTTATTATATCGTGGCTAGTGATATCGAAAACAAGATAGAAATATTAAATTAAGTAATAAAACGAATATTTGCGTTGTTTTCTTAACGAATTTCCTTATTTATTCGATGTAGCTCGATTCAAATGGGATCTTCGAGCATGTGGCAGATCAACGGAGAGCAATCTTTGTTTTTTACCGCTTCCAGGATTTTTATTGTAGTGTCTCGATTTTCATGTCCTTTCCTACAACCATTTCTTATTTATTAAACTGGAAGAATAATTTTAGCACTTCTACTAACCTGTGTACGAAGTTGTTCAGTAGATTCTTCACATGTTCCTCGGCGTTTTTGGATAGCATGGCGTTTAAAATCAACTCGCAGAATACTTTTTCTTCGCATCCATCTCGTTTCAATTTCTCTAAACTACTCACTACTATTTCCTCTTTTCTGTTGATGCGAGTGGTACTGAAAAATAACGCACAAATTAGATCAATTTTGCTACAAATATTAGTACTTACGTGGTATTCACGGGAGTGATTGTAACCAAAGTCGGTGTCAGAGCGCTCAACAGAAACCCAATCGGAATGATAGTAGCTAAAATTTTGAATATCTTCTTAATAGGACTGATCTTGTTCCTGTAATACTGCATGGGTTGGTGGTGGTGGTACTCCTGCTGATAGTAGTTGTGATAGGGAGGCGGCTCCTCCTCGTCGTTGTCGTAGAAAGTCTTCTGTTTGCTGTTGGGGCCGGCGAATCCGAAGATCTTCTTCCACAGGCTGTCCTGGGGCCGGCCCTGGGGCGAGGGCGTTTGGTTGAAGGGATAGTCGATGGAGTTGGTGATTTGGGTGATCATTGGAACGCCTGTGTCGAATTTGTAGGGCCTTTCCGCCGATGAGGTGGATGGAAATTTAACTTTCGAAGGCGTTTTGGAGTGGTCTCCCCATTCGTTCGAGTGCCAGTTGTCTGCGATGAAAGACGTCCGGGATTTACCGGTTTCTTCGAATAGCTGGAAGGCGCTGTTGAGCTGAGGGCTCGGTTTGAAGTCGTTGAATAGCAGAGGTTTCGATTGATTTACAACGGTCGATGAATCGATGGATTCATTTCGGAAAACTGGACTCGAATTGGTGCTTTCTTCGGAAATTGTTTCGTTCGATACATTTAACACTGTGGTGTTTTCTTGGGTTGATAACGAAGGCGACAGAAGCAACAAGCACAGTACTAACATCATCGAAACTTTGATTTCATCGTAATAAAATGGTTTTGTAAATGTTATGTTTTATATAAACTACTAAAACAATGTGTCGTTTCGTGACAAAACAGGTAAAATTCCTTTGTGTGCACGGCGCCATATCGAAGAAAGTTTTTAATGGAAAACATTATATGCTCTAAAAAATTCATTATATCTAATAACCAGATGCATAGAAGAGCGCGCAAAAGTTAGAAATTAACCGATTTAACCGTACCCAACTGTGCCATTGTTTCAGATCGCGATTGTATTCGCAATGATCGTAGGTATTTAAATTATTATATACTCATTATACGATACCTGCATACACTCTTAAAAATCAAAAAGGAAATTGCGTAGGACAGTTATTAACACATCGCGGATATTTTGCATTGAATAAATCCAATAGGAATCTCGATTATACCCATTGAATAAAATTAGGTGCGGCTGCGATCGAGCTATGCCCGTTTATACAGGGAATATCCCAAAGTTTCCCAACATTAGCAATAAAAACAAATAGAATTCATTCATCGATATTCGAAAAAACTTGTACAAGAAAATGCAAGAATATCTTTAATGTACACTTACAGTAATCTTTGTAATTTATTGCAAAATCAGAGCAAACGGGGCCTGCAAAAAATTGTGGCGATTTCATTGAAGACCGTCGAGCGCTTTTCCCACGGTTCGCCCGATAAATAATGGTCAATGGAGCCGCGAAAAGTGATAGGAATTTCTATAATACCCGAGGAATCTCGAAAATATTGTCGCGAATGTAGGTTGGGCTGGCCGAGTGCCGGCGAAACAGGTGGAAAGTGAAAGACCCGGAGGTGAAATTCGTTATCACATCTGTTTCGGTTTTCATTCAGAGAGTGAACGCGATTGACGGCTAGACGGGCAGCGGATTTTGTGCACCAGAGTTGAGATAAATTCGATGCGAGTGTCGGTTGGTGGTTTGAATATCGAGGATTTTGCATCGATATAATTCGTGGTGGTTTTTTTTTTTTTGATAGAGTATTTTTTTATTGATGCGTATAGTTTATTAGAGAGTCAACATGAGTTGGTTAGGGGTAAGTACATTTTTTTCATGTTTATTTCGGTGATTTGTTAAATTTAAAGTTTATATGGGATTAAACGAATTAGTAGGTCATAATGAAGAATGCATTCTAGAGAAAATCAGTGAAAGTTTGTCGTGAAGAAAGTTTATGGAATACACAATTTTCCTCGTTTAATTAGAGTGAAAATTGTATTTTCATCAAATGTGTTAAAATTGAACAACTTTTTCTGGTTAATAAAAGATTTGCATTCGTTTTTTAAGCTTACAATTTTAATTCATCTGAAGAAAATTATTAATTTATTCTACCACAAGAAAACTAAAGACATATATTCCTAAAGTACCACAATAATTGATGATGCAAGATAAAATAAAAGATAATTGACAAATATGATTTTACAGCCTTTAGAAAGTACCATTAAGTATACCAAAATAGAAAGAAATAAGAAGAATCTTTAATGTAAAATAAATATAGGATGCCTAATTGAGTATACTTACTAAAGAAAATTTAAGAATGAAAAGTGAAAATTAAAATAGTTACGTTATTATTGCTCTACTGATGCTAAAATCTAATGCTAATATGCTAATCAATCGAAAACTAAAGTCTATTGAACTTTTATTCAAATTCAAGTGCAAACTTTCACTCATGCACGTCGAATTTGAATATAAATCATTTCATTCTCCAAATATTTCACTCGATAACTAATGCAGATACAATTTTTTTATACAAATAATTTAAATATTTGGTCAGTGTCGACCGGAAATTAGCAATTTTAATACATCTGTTACCATTCATCATGAGTCGAAATTTAAAAAGAAATTAATATCGGAAATCACAAGAAGGATATTTTTCTCGCTCATCTCAATTAAACGAACTCCGATACATGTGATTTCTTTTTCTAGCGCGCGACTAATGATCGAAATGATCTATCAATGGCATTCGAATATTGATGAACAAAACGTTCTAATTATTCTCGTTAAAACCTATCATTAGTTAAAAACGGAAGAATTTTCATTAAGTCGGTGAAAGTATACCTGCCTATAATTACAGTCATAAAAAAATGCACCTTTTATTAAGAATAAATTAACGAGCGTTTTATTAAATCAAGAAATTAAAAAAAAAGGTTGTAACAATCTAAAAATGATTGAGATCAACAACCGTAACCTACTTATCCGCAAATGATTGACTGCAGACAGTGAAGGTGAAGGTACCTCCATCACGAGTTATTTAACAAAACAAGTAAATACTTGCAACATTTATTCAGGAAAACAATTTGTTCCAGGCGTTAATCTTCTGTACATTAACGTACTCATCACTTAGCGCCAATCTACCTAAACCTGTAATGACCCGCACGGAACTCAAAGTATCCAGAAGCCTGGATCCATCCACAACGAAGACCCTAAACGTTGTCAGCAAAGACGGCAGCATAGCCCAATTAATCGTCAAACGAAAGGACCCCACTACACCACCCCCTACAGACAACAACAATTACAACATCAATTTCTTCGACACCTACGGCGACGAGATGCAAAACTACGAATCCAAAATGTTCCCTCAGCAGGACGATAGCAGGAACGTGCGGGAAATCGACAACAAAGCGAATTGGATACCGATTTCATCGGGATACTACCAACCCTCCGCTGTAGACATGCAAACCGTTGCTTTGATACGAAACTTGACCAACAGGAACTTGATTTCGATACGAGCTTTGAAGCAACTAGCCCAAAGCAGCAGGTAAACGCCGTTGTTGTTTCTCTGCATCGAACTCGATGTGAAATAATCCTTGTTCCAGATTACCCATCGCGCCGCGACCAGTTAACGTTCAATCAGAAGAAATATACATGAAACCCACCAACGAAATCAAACGCGGAAAATCCCTAACATCCAGCATTCCGGTCATCGAAGGAGTTAGAGTACCCGACGATCCCTCTGACAAAAAAACCTGGAGGAACGCCAGAGTGATCAACAACAAACTGGTCCCCTACGAAGCCGGTTACAAACCACCCAGAGCCATAGCCCTCGAGGAGCTGATATACCCGATATCCAGCGACAAGAAACCGGCGAACCGGCAACCACTGGGGCCCTTCTCCAAAGAGGACAATTTCAAGCGTCCGGGCGAGCGGGAGGCCTCCTACGGCCCGTTCACCGTCCGCGACAACGACGAATTGGACAAACTCGACGCGGAGGAGAGCAAATCGCTGTTGAAGTTCAGCTCCAGCGAGCACAGCTCCTATCCCAGCGACCTGGAGCACTACATCGAAGAGGTGAACGCCAAGGAAGCGGCGAAAGTTTACTACAACAAGCGCCAATACAGGTCGAGTAAAGATGGTGCGCAATCGTTCGAGAGAAGGATGCTACAATATCCCGGTAAGTACAGCGAAGATGCTTAACGTGCAGTTCTTGATTTTGGTATTTTTTAGTGGAGATATCGTACCCGAATTCCGCTTTGTATACCTCCCAAACTACTAAGTTGAGCCCGGTGAATTTTAACGATGGTGTTAGGACACCCGTTTTGCAATATGCTCATCCAGAATTGGGCGTGCAATCAGCCAAAGTAACCACAGACGATGAATTAAAAGAGTACAACAAAGAACGCAATTCCTATTCCTACGACACCGGAAGACACTCGCAATATTACAACAACCTCAACACCATCAACTACCACAGGTACTCATTTCGCAGCTCCATCAAATACAGATTTACATATTTTATTCGTAGAAAAGACGTGCTGAATTACCCCTACGACACCTACTACATCGAAACGAAAAACGAGCCGCCGTTTTGGATCAAACTGACGGAAAAAATCAGGGATAAAGTGCAGAACAGCTTCCATCGGATGCACCAATTCGCGAAGCCCGTGTTCGATCCCCTGGTGGAAGCCACGCAGAAGATTTCCCACAACCTGGGCTTTGGTAATAGGAAATATGCTCAGGATCGCACGGGAGTGGTGCCGGTGGACGCCTCCGTGGTGTTACCAGCCTTGGGGCTCGTCGCCGGAGGGGCCGCTTTAGGTGAGATTCACCTACATTAATCGGTTGGGATATATTACAAAAAAAAAATAATAATTCAGGTCTGGGAGCGGCGGCCGTGGGTCACTATTTCACGCCCATAGAACTCCAAAGGTCCTATCCTAACGATATCGTACTCTTGATTAAAGACGGCGAGAATCGCGGGAGGATCAAGCGCAGCTTGGAGGATTATCGCCTGCAGGAATTGCAGAAAGACGAAGAGCATTTCGCGGAGAACTTCGAGTTGTCTTCGATGGACGTTTGGTCGGACACGCCTTGCGCGAAGAAGATATTTTGCGAGGTCCTGGTGCAGCAACACCCCGATGAAAGTATATTAATGGAGAAGAAAATGCAAGACTTGTTATTAAGGTAGAGTATCTAGACATTTTTGAGTGTTTTTTTCTATCGCTTCGTTCATTTCGGTTTCTTCAAAAATGCGTTAGAAACCGGTCGGGGAATACAATTCGTAGAAATTTTAATTTAATCCGTTTACAATAAATGCGCATTTTTTGTATTGTATATTTAACACGAGTGTGCTCGATATTAGAGGTGAACGACTCTTGTGAAAGTGATGTCTTACACGAACCTTTGTGGCTCAGAGAAAGCGTTTTCTTTTTAATGCCTGTAAAAACCCAATCGATGCGTCGGTTAAACTTAAATTGTTCGGTGCCTTCGGTTAAATAATTAATTATTAAAAATGTCCAATGCTCGGCCCGGGCGGCTTTTTATTAAATAACTTCAGATAATAGTACCTATTTGCATACAAATTTTGTTTTAAGATAATCACTCGTTTTCATCATCTTGTGGTTTTAATATTAGGTACTTATTTTTAATGTTTTAGAGTCCATCCAGACATCGCTTCTCAGGCTGCTGGTCATCTTGAAGAGGTCATGGAGGCTGTAAAATTTCGGAATTGTGCCAAATTTGTCTGTAGGACTCCGATTGTAATTTCTTCTAAGGCTGCGTAGATTTAAAAGGAGTATAGTTTATGTAATTTATTTCGCGAATTTTAGCTTGGCTAGTGTTCGATGCGTTTTTGTAACAAAATAGCCACGACAACGAAAATTAGGTAATTTTTTGTGAATATTATTTTGGTACAAAAGAGGAAATTGGTACTAACTAATTATTTTAATGTGTATCTACAACCACAGCTTTAAATTTGAAGGTTTATTAGTATTCTTGGCCGCTCAGTCGAAGAAAGAAAGTAGTTTCGAAGAAACATTAATGTATATTTTTTATGGAGTAAGATATACATTACCATCGAATATTAAGTTGGTGGTATTTGTAATCCTTCTCCTACGCGTTACATTCTTAACCATATTCGTTATTGCGTAATCGTAATGTGTAATTTTATTAAGTACATAATCTTCGAATTTAAATAAGTGTATAATTCTTCATTATGTTGAATTTCTTTTTTCATTGATGAAAGAATATTTTTCATTGATGAAAAAAAATGACTGCAGGTAAATTTTTATTTCAACATAATAGAAGAACGATTAGATTATTTCTAATATTCACTCGGTACTTAAACAGCATATTTAAGTATTTAATATTAAATTTATATGTATACCTACTCGAAAATACGTATTATTGTACATAAAATATATTTTTATATTATTTATTAACGTTGTTTTTTATTCAATTTTTTAATTCCCTTATATATCTACTAAAATATTTGAAAGAAAAATTTATTTAGAAACGGACAATGTGGCTAATGAAATAATGTAAGAAACTCTAGAAAATTAAATATCCAAGGAAGTATGTGGCGGAATACACCTTTTAGCAAAGGCCACGAATTCTTCTTATTAACAATTATGCATTGGACAATGCACATTGCATATATTTAGGCAACATTTTATACATACATATCATATATTGCACTTTTAACATACACAAATGTATGCAATGTAGTGTTGTTTTTTTCAAAACGTTTTCCAATTCTGATTGCAAATTTCTACATACGTTTCTCGTTACTATTCTCATATAAAATGTTTGTCATTGGCTGGTATTATTTTAAAATTTAAAATGCCTAATTATTATTAATTTATATAAGTATATTATAATACATTGCTTTAAATAAATTAAAACTATATATTTAAATCTGCTATCAGGCCAAGTTCCAAGGTCCTATCACTAAATTTGAACAAAAAAACAGACCTAATAATACAATGGCGTTAAAAGGACTGAAAGTATTGGAGTTCTCCGGATTATTACCAGTCCCTTTTTGTGGAATGGTTTTAGCCGATTTTGGAGCAACAGTAATCCGTATTGACAAGGTACATTCTAAAATCAATTCTAAGATAACTAGATTAAATACCATATTTCAGGTTCACTCCAACACCGACTTGGATTGTCTAAGCAACGGGAAGAGATCTCTGAGCCTGGACCTAAAGCAGCCCGAAGCTATCAGTATAATAAAATCCTTAACTCGCAAATCGGACGTTTTGATCGAGCCCTTCAGGAAGGGAGTGATGGAAAAGCTGGGCTTAGGTCCTGATGATTTAATGAAAGAAAACCCGAAACTGGTATATGCCCGGCTCACCGGTTACGGTCGTAATGGCCCTTTTAGTAAAAACGCAGGTCATGATATCAATTATGTAGCTTTATCAGGCCTTCTTTCAGCATTTGGAAGGTATGTTAACAAACTACAAACCAACGAAGGCATAATACACATTTTTTAGGTATGGAGAAAATCCCATTCCTCCTGTGAACGTGCTGGCTGATATCGGAGGTGGAGGCCTGACTTGCGCGTTGGGTATATTACTAGCTTTGATAGAAAAAGGAAAATCGGGTAAAGGCCAAGTGGTAGACTCTACGATGGTGGAGGGCACCGCTTACCTGGGTAGTTGGATATACCGAGGGCAAAAAATATTACCGGTTTGGGGGAACGAACGAGGAAGAAACGTATTAGATACCGGCACTCATTACTACGAAGTGTACAAAACCAAAGACGGTAAATACATGTCCGTAGGAGCGCTAGAATCGCAATTTTACCAGCAACTCCTCGAAGGTAACTCTCTAGTATACTTAACGTATCGATGCATTAGTAACCGTAAATCTCCAGGTTTGGGATTGACCGAAGACGAAGCTCCCCAATTCGGTGACTTCGATGAACTGAAAAAACTGTTTGCTAGAAGATTCCTGGAAAAAACGAGAGACGAATGGTGCGAAATATTCGACTCCACCGATGCCTGCGTGGCTCCCGTTTTAAATCTAAACGAAGCTCCGGTTCACCCTCACAACAAGCAGCAGAATTCTTTTACTGAAGTCGACGATTTCTACGCCCCGAACCCTCACCCGAAGCTCAGCAGAACGCCCGGCGAAACGCAGGCCAGGAAACCAGCCACCCAAGTCGGGGAACATACTAGAGAAATATTGATCGATTTGGGGTATTCTTCGGAAGAAATAACGGATTTAGAAAACAGAGGAGTAATCAGTTGTTACAAATTGTCCAAACTGTGATAAAATGATTGTTTTTAAGACTTATACATTATTTACTATGTATTCCGGTGCATGGGTATTTTACTATTATACAGTTCTACAAATGTTATCGTTATAAATAAAAATTTTACAAGGGTACTTGTGTTTAATTTAAATCTGTCAAGACCACCTGAACTTACTATTGTTGAATATTTTGTTATAAAAAAGTTCAATGCGAGAGAAAATGTAGAATAAAAGAGCCATTTATCCTTTTTTCTTTACTGAAAAAATTCAATCCACTTTATAACTTTACGTAACAAATATCTAATATAGCTTATTTCTTGGATTTCTTCTCTTTAGCGCCCCCTTTGGTGAGATCCTCAGCGTTCTCGGCGGCTTCCTTCATTCTCTTAGCACGGATACCAACCAATCTGGCATCGGTACGAGCCTTCCTCAATGTCACGTAAGCCTCGAATTTCTTCTCGTCTTCGGTGGGCACCCTAGCCTTCGTCCTGATGCTAGGCTGTCTAATGGGCAACACCTCTCCTAGCAATTGGGTGGCTACTTTACGTTCTTCTTCGGTGGCTTCGCCAGCTCGCAGCTTCTTCTTGTTGTGGATGGGGAACAGGATCAACTTGGATTTGTATTCTTTCAAACGTTGAGCGTTTAGTTGAATGGATTCTACGGACTTGTTCCTCCTCCTGTGGTCGACGGCGACGCCGACGGTCCTGGCGAATCTCGGGTTAAGTCCCGCGGCTTTTAATTCTTGCAGGGTGAATCCGCGCCCGGCGCGTATTTTGGTGTGGTACCTGACTGTGGGACAGCGCACGACGGGTCGCAGAGGGCCGGCAGCTGGTCTGGGGGCGACAGCACGGGCTTTCTTGATTCGGTTCTGCCTCCTGCGGATTTTGCGTGCAGGTTGGTTGAACCAGGTCTTCACGAATCTTTGCCAATCCTTGTGGAAATGGCCATTCGGAATCATATTATTACCTTTTGGAGCCATTATTTATCTTATATTTTACTTAAACAGCACTAAACACTGTCAATTCCGACACGTGCCGTACACGAAAGAATGATACAGACAGACGGAAATGTAATTTTTGGGAATTTTTTAATTTTGTGTTGGTATCACTGGTTGTCGTTTTTTTGTTCTAAAATTAGATTGGGTTTTTAAATAGATAATAATTATTAAATTTATCGCTAATGTTCGACTTTCAGAATACGTTACGAGAAATAATATATTATTTTACTAATTTTTAGCAACGAATATATTAATAAACAATTATTTTTATACAAATTTTAACACTAAGACACTTTTTGAAGAACAGCGCAACGAACAAACCTATATCATGACGTTTGAAGAAGACAAATGACATCTGTCATTGTCAAGTGTCAACTCATCATATGTTTTTTAAGTTGAAATTGTTATAAAGTTAATCCAAAACAATAACAAAAAGGAAATGTTAACTCAAATGAACAATAATAAAATAACATACTATTAAAAAAGTTAAATCTAAAATGTATTGATTCAATAGTATCACAGTTGAATTACAAGATGAATTACAAAGTTTGCGCAACAGTAGTGATAAGTACCATATCGGGTGTAGCTTTAATTTCTCCATATTTTTCATCAATTATTTTGTTCTGTTTATTAATACTAATCAGTATATTACTTGGGATATTCACCGCATTCTGGATGAACATTACTTTATCGTTGCCTCATAAAACCGACGTCGGGGCTGAATACCAGTTAAAACAGGCCGAAAACTTTAGAAGCAGCATAATAAAAGATTTCGAATCTTCTCAAGTAGCGAAGCCCATCTCTCATTCTTTGCCCCAAATTTTTGGAAAAACCGTCGATAGTTTACTCCAACAACTTTTGGATTTCTTATTGAGAGATTATATCTTGGTCTATATAAAAGATTACACTTATAAATGCGAAAATATCGGAAATGATATTAAGTGAGTACATTTTCATTAAATTACCGTTTCATTTGCATCGTTTTATTATTGTAGAGAAGACTTATGGGGGGCAATTAAAGCCCTGCACGAAAAAGTCTCTTCGGTAAATAAAACAAAATTAATAGCCGTGGATATTGTAACGAAAATAACCGTACATTTCGAAAAAATCAGGGAAGCCAAGGCGGCTGTGTAAGTAGCAGGAATTATTTTTTCGAATAAAAATACCTGTACGATTAACTTTTAGTGGAGACACCGATCATCCTCCATTATTTCAACTTTCTCCTCACGTCACATCGTCCGAGAAGGAAGCCGAGTACCTGAGAACTCTCAGCGAATTACTCATTATGTTCCTCTTGCCCAGAACTTATTCTCTATCGCCCAGTAAATACTTCTTAAGGGAAGTTCTAGCATGTAAATGTGAGTAAAGCAAGTACCTAGAAAATGCTGCGAGTGAATAATGAAATTTCCAGTTTTTAAGCCCATAATAGACGCGATCACGGACCCGGATTTCTTCAACAGAAACGTTATAAACTACATCGAAGCCACGCAAATACAAACGAATCTACCGAAAAAGATTCTCGAAAACGCCAGCAACTTCGAGGACTTGATCGATAAAGTCGATGACGTGCAAATGTTGAGATCTATTAGGTGAATTACGAGAAAACTAATGTAAAAATTCTCTTTATAATTAGTTGTAGATACAACATAGTTACTAAATTAATGCAAGCGACGACGATGCAAAATTTGAACAGAGCGAAAGGCCTCGATTTGGACACCGATAAAAGCACTCTAACATCGGCCGGAATACAAAAATCCGATTTAAACGCCGCAAAGAAACTCAAAAAGCACATCAACCAATTGACTTTAGCCAAAAAGCAATGCGAGAAGAAATTAGTTAGCCTAGGTTGGGACTCGGGGTATCAATGCGGAGACGATATGAAAAAAGTAAATTCCTCATCTCCCATTTTTACTATATCCTAATTAATTCGTTACTAGGCACTATCGATTCAAGCGATTTTGGAATGCGTATTAGGCAGAAAATACCTTTCGCAATTTCTCCAAACTCTCGCCAGCCACGATTTGGTTAGATTTTGGTCCTCCGTGGAGGAACTTCGCACAGCACAAAGGACGAATTGGCATCAATTAGGCGCCGAAATATTCTACACTTTCATAAGAAACCCAACATCAGAAATCAAAGTCGATAAAACTACAAAAAAGAGAATGGAAGCTTTCCTTCTAGGCAAATATTACACCTAATCTCGTATGAATTACTAATTGAAAAATGCTTTTTTTAGGTGATAAAGGTCCGGAAGTATTCTACGAAATCCAAAATCAAGTCGTACAAACGATAGAAGATAAATATTACCAGCCGTTTCTAATCAGCGATTATTACAAAGAAATGCTGATTGCTATAGATAGCGAAGAAAATTTAAACGGCGATGACGGAATCGGTTTGGAGGATCGACAGACTTCTACTGATTCTACCGAAAGTTCGGAGAATACTCTAAACGTGGGAGATCATTCGAACTACGCGAGAAGGAAATTGGATCAACTCGAGGAAAAATTAAACAACAAGACACAAGTACAACTACATTTAAATAATTTTAGTACGTGTTTATTTGTGCGATTTTTTAGGCGTTGGCTGCATTACGTTCTTCTATGAGGCCAGAATCGAAAGTGTTGAGTAAATTGGAAAAGGAAGTGGAGTGGTTAGAAGGGGAAAAAAGGCAATTGGAGGCCCACATAACCAGAACAGAAGTTTGGGCTGATAACTTAGGCAGGTGGAGGGCTTACGTCCAATCGGCCGAGGTTATAAATAAATCCTTCGATTTTCTTCGTTATTTTAAATGATTGTCTTCAGATTTTCGAAGAAAAGGATCCGCTACAATTCGTGTTGGTAGTGCAAATAGCCGAAGACGATTCCGCCGATGGCGAAGAAACGATTTGCACCGGCTGGGTCGTTTGCAGGAATTTATCCCAATTTCAGGAATTGCACAAGAAATTGCGACCCCTTTGTTCGGACATCCGCAACTTGGATCTACCCACCAACACTTTCAAATTCCTATTCGGCAAGAGCGATAAATTAACGTTGGAAAAGGCCAAACAACAAATACAAAAATACTTAAATGTATGTGCTAACGCAATTAATTTAATTCGGTGATTAATGATTCGATTTTCGATTTCAGTTCGTTTTAATGGACGAGAGATTGAACCAAAGCGAGGCCATTTACGCTTTCCTAAGCCCGAGCGCTGAAAATTTGAAACAATCCGAACCGAATCCGAAAAAATCCAGATTTTCATTTTCTACGTTATTCAAAAGGTACTCAAATCTACTTTCTATTATCTAAATTGTACTCTACTCTACAATACCCTACATTACCCTATCCTACACCATGATACAAGTATACAACACAAGTTGCAACGTTGCCGGGTTGAAATGAAAATCTTGATGTGACAGATATGTTTAATTTAAGGTTATGTTAACTTTCATTGTTTAGAAATTGAAAAGAAGAAATGCATTGGGCTGCAATCCGATTGACGGGAGACGTGTTTATTTGCAACGCTTCACAACCCTATAAAACAGAAATATTCATTTAAAAAACTATTCGTAAGTTTAACATAACCTGTAAATTTCAATGTGCTGAACTATCGAAAATATTAATCGGGAATTAATCGGGAAAAAAGGGCCTACATCATAGACCTATTAAGTATGGACGCGGCACTATCGTTATTTTGAGGTTATTCAGCGTTCCCAATGATAGAGAGAGAGGTCCGTGAGAGATGGAGTTAGTTTGGGCTAAAAGTAGGCGGGACCAAAAAAATATAAAATATATACAGGGTGCGTGAAAAAAGGCTATTAATCTGATAAATTATGTATACGCTTAATATTTAAATATTGTTTTTATCTTGGTATCCACTTGGACAGAAGAATGACCAGGAAGAAACCTATTTTTTACAAGAGAAAGCAGCTAGGTCTTAAAATGCGAAATCTGTACTGGCTAATAGGTAGGATGTTCCAATTAACAATACAAAATAAGAACTGTATTTTCAAATGCGTGGGAATTTAGGCTCAGCTGAAAAATGCATTTTGCTCGGCAAAAAAATAATAAATCACAATACCCTCCGCTGCACTCCTCAACCCTATTCTACCATAAGCTACCCTCCTCTACCCCAGCTACCTTGCATATCTGACAACGTAACACGTGGTCTTTTGCTTTCTTACTATTGGCTAATGCATTGTCCAATCTCTCATTGCCAAATGCCCAAACTAGCTGCATCTCTCTCATTCATCGACAACACTATCTCTTTGTCTAAACCGCGTCCATAGTTAATAGGTCTGTGGCCTACATCGTCCCGTTCTCTCTCAAACTAGCGAGCGCGAATATCCTTTATGCAATAAAATTTAGCACCTTTTTTAAGATTAAATATTAAAAAAAACTCGAGAATATTTCAAATAGAAATTCCAATAATATAAATAACAAGAAAAAAGAAATAAGAATTTGACATATATATGTCAAAGAATAAGGTTATGTTTGTTATTTTTCCGAAGATTCTCACCTGTGACGTCACGCCCACATGCGCAATATCATACCTTCTCTTATCGTATCACGACCCTACACTACCCTATTTTCCTCTTCTTCTGCACTACCCACACACCATCCTATTCTAATACTAAGTTTCCTACGATGCATTTAAATAATTCGCCTAGGAAAAGCGCCATCTAACGGCCGTAAATTTGCAGCGGTAGCGGCGACCAGACCAACGAAACTCCATCAATTCTCAAAGAAACCGAAGAAGAGGACCTGTCCCAATGCCCCGATTCGGCCGGCGACGCCCAGGACTTCGCCAGGAGCACCGGCCATTCGGCGCGAGACGACGCCATAGCGGAGCCGCTCTACGCGCTCTTCAGCGAGATATTCAACATGCGCGGCGTGTTCAAGTACGTGCGGAAGACGCTCATCGGCTTCGTGCAGGTCACCTACGGGCGCAACATCAACCGGCAGATCTACGAGACGGTATCCTGGTGGTTCTCCGAGGAGATGCTGCACTATTATCTGGCGTTGGTGTTGAAGAGCTTCTGGCCGGGCGGCGCTTTGGCTGAGGCTGGGCCGGCGAGGAACAAGGTGGAGAGAATTAAGACGGCGCAGGAGGCGCAGGATATGTTTATAAATAATATACCGGAGTTGTTGACTACTTTGGTAGGGAGTAATGCCGGTAGGCTCGGGGCTAAGAAGGTGTTCGATGCGTTCCAAGAGAGGAATATGAACAAACATTTGTTTTATGTGAGTTTGATTTGATTGGTTGTGGAGGAGGATTTTTTTGTTATTGTTGTTGATTGTTTCAGGAGATCCTTGAAGTGGTTTTGGATGCGGTGTTTCCGGAATTAGCTTAACTGTTCAGTATGTTTACTAAGTCATTATTTGTATCTGTGATGCTGTTATTAATTTATGAATGTTACAAGTATGTAAATCTATTAAAAATATTAACTAAATTTTTTTATTTATTTATTTATTTATACATATAAAACTACAAAACAACATGAAGTTGGTACAGTAGAGTAAAAAGAAACATTATATAGATATTAAGAATATAAAAATAAATGATAAGGTAAAGATCTAGAACTCTAGAAATCTAGTTAAAAATAAATGGAAGAAAATAAGCGATTGATTATTTGTTTAAATATTTCTTGACTTCAGTTTTAAATCTGTCCATCTTTTTTAAATTTCTCAAAGAATTTGGAAGTTCATTAAAGTTTTTAAAACAACTGTAGCTTGGTAAATTTCTGCCTTTTTCACTTCTCACTTGATATTGAATTTCAATTCTGTCTGCATTTCTGGTGTTGTAGTTGTGGATTTGTGAAGTAATTGTTGGAATGATCGAGCTTATAGGGGATGAACTCTAGATACGTAATATATAATTTAATAAACGAGTTAGTTTACGAGTTAGTAAACGATTTAGTTTTTAAATAAAATAGTAAAACGAAAAGTATCGGGGAGAACGACTGTAATTGACAATTGACTTGTTGACATTGACACTATTGACATGTGGTTCATATTTCACCTCTTACTTTCTACTACAACAATCATGCTCTGTTGGTACCGCCACAAGCTTTTTAGATATCCATTTTTTAATCTTGAAGGCCAATTTACACTTTTCTAAGGCTGCTGTTTTGTTGATAGGTAAAATACTCGTATCATTTTGCGACCTCGGTGTTCGAAACGTTTAGCGAATTTATTCCGCAAAGTGTCCACGAAACGAGCACTTATCTCCGGACCTCTTTATATCAAAACGAATTGATGGAATCCGATTGGGGCCCGCCGGTTAAGCGCGATGCGATAACGCTGATGGAACGGGGCCTTTTTGTATATGGGAATTGTCATAAGGTCCATTATCGGGGCGCGTAAACAAATAAGGCCCATCGAAGGGATCTCGGAGCGCTCATAGTTTATAACAAAGTGTTGAACTAGAGAGCGCGTGTGCCGGGCGAGCCGAAAAGGGAATTTGGTTAATCCGGCAGTCGCTCGCGGGCCTCCGACGCCGAAACAATCCCTCGTAGAGAGTGCATGGAGGGATGAATAAGGGCGAAAGGGATCGCGACGACCGGCTCCGCAGATTCGCGTAAGTCATTCAAAAAGAAACTCTATTATTTTTTCATTATCGTTTTCGAAATAATACGGCTGGTTTTAACCGAACTCTGGCAGCACTATTATAAATCAATTTAAGAAAGTTTGGATTTCTATTGCGTTATATACCCCGAGTTTTGTAGATGTACTAATGGATAAAACGGGAGCGCTAACATGTCGGAATATTTAATTAGCTCTAACTTCCCTCGAACTGAATTAATCATCAAGTTTATACGCGGCATCTTCGAGTTCGAATATCTTCGATTAATCGAACTATAAAGTACTTCTTCGCTAGATGTTCCCACAAAACTCCTCTGCGAGGTATATTTTAATCTGCAAATTCCACGAATTGTTCTTCATATGAATCCGTAGATAAAATAATGGCTGGATTTGCATCTTGCATCGGTTCCGCGGGAACTTCGGTGAAACCCCGGAATGGCTCCAATGAACGCACCAATTTGTCTGCTCTAATCACTGGAACCAACAAATTGGATCCACCCTTAGCGTTACTCCACTTGCGATTAATCTATCAACGTTCGGGGGAGATTTGTTTGGACGTTTTGTCCCAATCGATCCCCATGTTCTAATGTTCTGGGGTTTTTTTACAAAACTTTTTTGTCTCTACTCTACATTCCTTCGGTTGTTGGTAAAATATTTGATAATAAAGATGGACTCTTTTCGAATTGAATCTTGAAATTGCTTTTTTAAAAACTGAATGTATTTCGTTTGGAAAAATTGCCGATTTAGAAGCATCTTACCTACTATTTAATCTCGCATCCGCTATCATAGATCTTCGAGGGAATTTTAATCCGGTAAAAGTAGAAAATTACATCACAGACATGCATATAAATACGACCTTAACTAAATAAAATCCAATAAGCTTTGCGTTTTCCAATCTTGCTTCAGGAATTTCATTTTTTTTTGAACTCGTACTGAGTAGATACAAAAATTTGTAATGTTTATTTAACATAAAATAGAGAGAATTTAAGTAATTCGAAAAATTTTATTCGCTTTGCATGTTTTACTACCAAATTCCACCGGAATTGCATCGATTGGAAATCGAAATTAAAATAGTTGGAAACTTTTTTTACCTACATTTAGTATAAAGTTTGAGCCATACGAGTCAATTTAACAGAGGAGTGTAAATATTGACCGCGATTACATGCCCTGTTGTCGAACTAATGTTTCATTATTGACAAGATTTCGAATAATGCTCTAGTAAAGTTACACTCCGTTTTGTTCGAAGTTTTCAATTACTCCTCGATTTCCATCATTGTGTTCGATCGTCGCAGAGCCGGTCCTTTATCGCGATCTCATGCATTTTTACTGAAACTGAAAGGAGATACTTATAAACGCCAAATTAGACATTCCATGGAAGTTTAAATTAAATTCAATAGAACAAAACAGATGCATGTACTTTGATTCCTTAACAATGATTGATTAACCGCCGCGTCTGGTTGGAAATCCAAAACGTACGAAAATTTCGCCAAAACAAACAAAAAGATAATGAGCGCAACCCTCCTTTCTAAACGCCAAACTTCTGCTGTAAGTCAATAATCCGCCAGAATTGGCGTGCAGGTTTTTGTAACCCAAATAAACCGAATCTTATTCAAACACGAGGTTGCAAAGTTCCCAACTTATTAACATTTGTTGCTCCAAATTTTACCTACTCATAATTACACTTAGAGCTCATTTTTTTTTACATCCTCACTTTGATCATCTCCTTATCTCATCAGCTTTTATGTTTATGTAAAAATAAATAACTGCAAAATATTAATGCCAATAGGACGCGCTGTATTCTATTGCATTACACATTTTATAAAGCATCCTTTTTATTAAGTTAACTGCATATTATTTTCGCTGCATTTAAGTTAGGAATCCGGTGACCGGTGTAGCGGTGTTGAATTTTTAATGTCTATCGAATGTAACAGGCAAACGTGTGGGAAAAGCTAAAGCATCGGATAAAGTCCAGTTCAAATACATATATTTTATACGACGAGCACCACTGCGAGGTTCTATGGCGTTGTTAATTAAAGACATTAGCGGAAATGGCGGGAAAACTAATAAAGGAATCGCGCTAGGAAAGTGCGCTAATTAAATTTATATTTCTGATGTCGAATCGTCGGATTTGAGAATCGATGCGTTTCTTGGCTTCTTGCAAACGTTTACTATTTTTCTTGCAATTTCGGTTCGATTGAACCTGTTAGAGGAATAAGGTGGCGAAATAAATGTTCAATAAGAGATGCTGGAAATATTGGTGCATTCATATTTATTTCAAAAATAGATTGTAAATGTTTCTTCCTATTTGTTCCTAATCAGTATTTTACCGCAACTTAACACAAAAATTTTCAATTAATGAGTCCTTGTCGTTTTTGTTGCAGTCTAGCAGCCTTTCAGTAGAAAAGTGCATTAGTAATTAAAAAGTGACAGGGTTTAATCGACGTAATCTTCGAAATTCGCATAATCTACAAAGAGATAATCGCTGAAAAAATGACACCGGCTCGAATATTCGAGTAATTAATAGCTGACTTACGAAACGTCTTTGAGAAAGTTGTAAAATCCATTTTCATTGTCTTATCTCGGAGAACTAAGTAGTTAATTAGCAGGATGGGAAACGTAAATTTTAGAGATTCCGGGGACCTTTTAATATTTCCCTTTTCTAATCTGGGTTATTGTTTATATTCAAGGCATTCGCAAAGCATCCGTTTAATCGCGCGCGATTTTCCGTTATTGTATAATTATCCTTTTGAAAATCTTATTAATGCGGCTTTCAGTAATTTCACTTACACTGTGGTATAATTAATAACATCTGGAATGGTATCTACTGATTCCCCATTCGTTTCCAAAAACGTCTCTTATTTATCTGATTCCTGGGGTGGTGCGTTTAAATTAAATTGTCGGGTAGATAAAATTTACCGGGTAATTTGCTGTGTACCAGTTGAATTCGAATGCTTTGGATGCGGATCGTGGAAAAGCAAGCTAACGTTTTATCTCCTTTATACTGAACATAAAAAGGGCTTCACCAAGAAAAATAAATAATTATTTCAAACGAGACGAAATTATTAATTAAAATTTCATTATCGTGTATGTGATATTTTTTTTATAAAACCTCGGGTTAAGGAGGAAAAGATGATTGGAAAAAATTAACGAGTATTTAAGTTACTTTTTGTGAAAGCGAAACAAATTTATGTAAAGCGTTTAAATATTCGAAGTTTAGCAGTTAACTTTATTTCTGTAACTGTTCCATTGTCCATAGAATTTCGTTCGGAAAATAATGGCGCGGAGCTGAAGTTTAAACTAAATTTGTAGTAAGTACCCACTCCGTTAAAACTGAATAATTAAAACTATTCCGTTCTCAAGGAGTTGAAGTGTTTTATGTTAGCTTCTTAATTATCCAGGGTGAAAAGTTTCGTTATCCGATAATCGATAATCGGCAGGGAAACATCTCCGAATGTAGATCTGTCTTTTGTTGTCTAATGAATTTACCGGATAGCCCGAAATGAGAGAGCCGATTTCACTTCGTTATGTTTCCTGCAAGTACTGGTTAAAATGCAGGATGTGCAACAGAGACTTCAGGAGCGGTGGATTAAGACGCGTAAATGAATCTCGCCGAGCGGGAATTCGATCGAATCGCGATAGAAATGGAAAATTGTAGTTTGTCGAAAAGGCAACAACGAAAACGCCATTTCACTTCCGCAATTCCCTCGAAATTTGTAGTAGAGGTACAATTTTTGTAGGGATTTAAAAAATATTTGGAAAACTAGTTGACTCGCGTTTCAGGATAAATAATTGCATCAGCGACACTAAGGCGCTTTAATTCGCCCGTTTTTAGTCCGGAATATTCCGACAAATAAATTCTCCTATTACAGAGATTCTTGATATCAGCTTGAGCTTATTTGAATAAACAGTTCCGCATTATATCGTCGTTCTGCGAAATTGCATTCATTCCGCTTTTTCCCTCTCTATTTTTGTAACCGAAAAGATCCCTTTGTAAGCCCCGAATAGTCCACTGAAGGCAGCTAATATCTAATTTAAAAGGCGACAAACGCTTTAATTATACATGAATATTTATACTAGTGACAATAAAGAAAAGAATATTAAGAAGTTTGGTTGTGTGCGGGAGCTTCTATTTTGTTTGAAATATTTTTTAATGCATACACAAATGCTTTCTTTATTTTTTTATTTTCAACAACTTTTACACTTCCAATTTTATTAATTTCTTTATCACATTTGTCGTTATTTTAAACATTCCTACAGATTTTAAAAATGTATAAAATACTTCGTTGTATGTATAATTCATACCTTCGGTTACATTAAAAAAGCATATTGATTCGTTATTAAAATTACAACTAAAAATTACTACAATATTCATAAATCACCTCGCTATATTATTTTTATTTCATTAATAAATTTAATCTACTCGAGTTGGTTTCGAAATCATAAATAATAATTTTAATTTCGCATTGCAACTTGATGAACGTCATTTTATTTCGTATATGCATGAAACGATGCCCCGCATTTTTAATTAGGCAATTTAAATGGGCTGTATAAAATGTCAATTTCCAATTTAGCGAGGATATAATTGACCGTGTCCATTAAAGGCTCCACTTATGTAAAAATTTTTATTGTAAAATAACTTTAGGTATGTTTCTGCAATGTTTCGAATTATCGTAGATACAAATCAAACACAATCCAAATCCGTTAGAATTTTTCAAATCTCCGTTTTCCGAGAAAACGTCTACATTTCGTACGAAATTATTCAGTAAGGAGGCACGCGATTGTACACGCGACTGTCACAAATTGTACACGATTTACTTGCAAGGCAGCACTTTCAATATAATTCATAGTTTTGTGAAGTGATTATTAAAGGTAGAGAGAAGCGAGCATTGCTGTTTCTACCATATCGAATAAATCGACTAACTTTAAGGATTCGTGACAGTGTCATTGTTGCCTGTGTTTGTCTTATTTTCCCGCTGTAGAACTGTTTCAACGGTT